CCCCCTTTTGGATCCACGTATCTACAACCTCTAAGTCCAAATTGTAACTATTTTAAATTGCAGTCAGGAAACAGAGGTAAGCTGCCCGCCAGCCTATCTGCCTTGTGCGTATTTATTTCACTCCCCTGGAAAAAAGAAAAATGTGTTTTCTATAATATCTGAGAGTTCAACATGCTATAAGAGAAGCTGGCCTCACACTGTAAATCCTGCCTGCTGGAGGAGATGTGATTTTTGGTGTCACGTAGAAGAGCTGAGCCAGCACTGGGCTTCAGTCTCTCATCCAGAAATAATTCGAGGACTAACCCTTTTATTTCAGTGAAAAGTTGCAAACCTGCAGGCTGTGATTCCCTTGGGACTAGATGAGCTTCAGGAGAGCTATCTGGAGGACTGTCATTCTGGGGCCCTCACCCTCTTTTCTATGCCCACTGGAAAGGCCACCTGCTTTGTCAAGCTTCCTCATTAGCCATCTGACTTGCTTGTACTCCAACTTTCCTGAAGTTTTCCATGCACTTTAACAATTTCCTGGAGGCTGCCTTTTGCTGTTCTCTCTCTCAACAAGGTCTCACTATGTATCCCATGTTGGCCTTGAACTTGTGTTCCTCCTGTCTCAGGCTTCTGAGTGCTGGGATTACAGGTGTGTACCTTCAACCCTGGCAGGTCCATAGCTGTTGTTTAGGGCCTATTGACACCAGTAGAAGATCGATGGCTGTGGAGGACAAGAAGAGGAGCATGGTACTTGGCAGATGTTGGCATCCTGGGACCTTTTCCAAGACGTTTCAAGCCCCATTCTTCGACTTGTTTAAGGGCAGAGACTAAGGTTGCAAAGGAAATCAAAGCCTGATGTTGAGAAATGAAACATGAGGCCTACTGACTTTTTAAAAACATTTTAAATAACATTCTCTGAGGTTTCATTTTATACTGAGTGCAGCTGTAAGAAGTTTTGGGAGACGGTGTAAGGTTTCTATTACACAGCAACCGTACTTGCAATTTTTCTGCCCAAAGTGAGAAGGAGCCGAGAGGGGAGAGGGAGCAGTTAGGAGGTTATTTCGTATAAGGTGAGAAAATTTGAAAAGATGAATTCAAGACTGTGAGCTGTAACATTCGGTATGCTGTAATTTGCAAATGCAATAACATTGAACCATCGCAAAGGTCTCTTTTCTCCCTTTGGGTGAAAATAGTCCGGATAGCTTGGAATAACTTAATAACCAGAGCTCAGCAGCCCTTTGACCACAAGTAAAACAAGACTGCAAGCTCTGGACCAGGCCCTGCCAGTGTTACCCCAGCGACGGATTCCCTGCCCAAGGCTGGCGCGGGAGGAGATGTTGCGTTCTGAAAGCACTCCTTGTTCACAGGCAGTGTTATTTGGTATTACGTGTGTAGTGTTTGCATATGAGACAGTTTATTAGAAACAAATATAGCTAAGGAAAAGGGCTTGCCATGAAACTCAGTAGATCTGGCTCAAAACCTTAGAGGTTTTGTAGTACTTTTGTTTCTAAAGAAAGACTGTCAATAGTTACACTGCTCATGCACACACATGTACATGTAAGCATACATGCACAAAAGCATATTTGTGAGTGCAAAATTGGAAAGCCAAGGCAAGGAATGAATTGATACCTAAAATTCCTTCCTTGGAGCTGGAGAGAGATAGCTTGATGACTAAGAACACTATTTGCAGAGGACACCCCCAAGTTCAGTTTCTAGAACTCATGACAGGGGTCTACAACTGCCTATAACACCAGCTTCTGGTGCCTTCCTCTGGCTGCTAAGACATCTGCACACACACACACACACACACACACACACACGTACCATACAAGCACCTTCTGTGTGCGTGTGCGCATGCGCCTGCGCACATAGGTGCACATGTACATACATTTGTGGAATGTAGTGAGATATCCACTGAGTCTAGTGAATCTTGATTCCCACACAATAGTGGAAGCTAAAGGCTGATGCTCTTTAGTCCTCCTTCATCTTATTTGTTTGTTTGTTTTTGGGCAGAGACTCCCCATTGAACCTGGAACTCACAGATTTGTCTAGGCTGGCCACTGAGTTCCAAGGATATTCCTCTCCCCACTGCTTCAGTTTCTCTCAGACATGTGCTGGCTTTTTAAACGTTTTGTCTAGAGGCTTGCACTCTGGCCTTCCAGCTTATGTAGAAAGTGCTTGATTGACAGAGCCATGTCCTCAGTCCTACAGTTCCTTCTTTAATGGGAAGGAATTGACCTTGATATTTAACAGGTAGAAATAAACATATTTTGTGAGTTTGGCTGGCTGAAACCCCCCAGCAGAGAGCTTCCATCCTGCTGGTAGAACTCCTGGGACATAGGCTTGGTGAAGGCAAAAGGAGGCGTGGATGAGGGGACTTAACTCTGTACTTCTCACATTAATGGGCCCAGTAAAGCAGACCTTGGTCATTCTCTGTGGCATATGAGTCACTCTGTCCATCCTAGAAGCAGCACGTCATCCTATAGAGTAGAGGGTTTCCTGTGATGTGTGAAGAAATGAAGTTTTGATACTTTTTTTTTCCAATCAGAAAAGTGAACAGTCCTACTTCTCTGTTCTTTGGTCAACCTACATGGGTGATAAAGGAGCAGATGAATGAATGACTCTGAGGGGCTCTGAAATTTTTATCTTTATTGTATGGAAATGTAGGTGTCTATGAAGTGATGGAGGATTTCAGAATGAAATGTGCTCAAACATTTTCTTGCTTTTAAAAAAGTTCCTTAAGGGCCAGCAATGGGCTTATGCAGTCCATTTGTATATGGTCTGGCTCTGGTTCAGCAAATTCCACAGGGTGATATTTTAATCAGAAAGGCCCCAATACAGAAAGGCTTAGAGATCTATCTTTCTAATTTGCTGCTTCCAGTCCAGTGCACAGGGAATCTCAAACATGGGGCTATTGTTGGACTGGTTTGGTAGTGATGGTATGCAGGAGCTCTTATTTCTTTTAACTATTTTTTTATTGTTGTTATGAGATAACGTCTCACCACATAGCCTTGACTGGAACTCACTCTGTAGACCAGGCTGGCCTCAAACTCCCAAGTGCTGCGATGGAAGATGTGTGCCATCATACCCAGCTCTGTCTGAACTATATTTGTTTAGTGGTACTCATGATTGGAGAAAGAGGAAAGGGGAAGTGTTGGAGTGTTTAAGCACACATTTGTGAATGAGTTCTTCACTGGGGTGCATGTAGCTATTGATAGAGCTGCTGTGAGGAAGGTCCAGTAAATTTATAATTATAGTGCTTTTGTATTTGAGACCAAACAGCAGCCCGATTTGTTAATTCTTTCTTGTTTACTCAGTAATTCATTCATTTGTTCATTCATTTTACTGTTGTAAGAGCAGTAACACGCGATGTACTCCTAATGTAGCATTAAGTGTATAGTATCTTATCTTCACTCATAGGTAGACCAGATTTCTAGAATGTATTCATCTTACATGACTGAAAGTTTATATCCTGTGATTACCCACCCCATTTTCACTCTTCTCCACCCCTGGCCACCACTATCCTATTCATTTGATATATGGATTTGAGAGTTTTAGATCCCTCCTATAAGTGGGATCACACAGTATTTGCCTTGTGACTTATGTATTTTCCCTGGCATAATGTCTTCCAGGTCCACTCCTGCTGTCAATTGGCATCAAATTGCATGATTTCCTTCTTTTTGAAGCTAATTTTTCCATTGTATATAGAGACCAAAGTTTTTATTTTACCCGTTCTTCTGTTGATGGGCATTGTCAGTGTTGATTAAATCAAAATATTGGTTGTTTCGAGTAGCCTTGTGATGGGTGTTTCTCAGATCTTTACTGAAGTGAGGGTTGCTGGATCAGATGAATTGCTTTGGTTTTTTTACTCCAAACTTCCTGTCCTTACCCTACTACAGGAAGTAGTGGTGCAGGGCTTCACTCACCAGACTCTCAACAGTACTTGTCTTATGTTTTTAATGATAGTTTTGATTTGCATTTTCCTAATGATTACAGATGCTAAGCATCCTTTCAACTGCTTATTAGCCATTTGTATGTCTTTGGAGAAAGTTCTTAGTCCATTTTTAATTGGCTATTACTTTTTTCTTGAGGGATCTCATGTGTAGATGTCAGCACACCTGACCCCATCCCTCTGTGGAATTCGGCTGGGAGCACCTCTCCTCTGGAGAGTATCCTTCTGGTAGAAGACAAGGAGGAATGTGCTTTGTTGAGATTTCTCCTCTGAGACTAGAAAAGAATGACCAAGCTTCCCTTCCATGGGGCCTCCTCTGAGACTGTGAAACTTACAGGAGTCTGTCCCTTTGTTTCTTTAGTGCCACATCTGAAAAAGTTTAGGAATTTCTATGTAGATATATCTGGTGTCTGGGACATAGTGACACTTGGTACTTGTCAAATAAATGAATAACTGAAGAAAAGACCACTGAATGGAGTTGTGTCGTGATAAATAGACAGATCCAGTTAGCTTGGTTTCATCCTCACTTGGGACATTAGTTTGCAATTTACTTTTTAAAGCAGGGGATACAAGACTTCCCAGACCATCTTAGCAAAGAACTGGGAGAGATCATGCATAGAAGAACCTCTCTCGATATTCATAGAAGAACCTCTCTCGAAGACCTTAAGAGTTAGCCATGTCACTTGCCCGGATGTCTAGCTTGTGTTTTAAAATGAATCTGGGTGTTATCTCAAGCCAAATAAGTGAAAAAGTGTCCTTCCACCAGCTCCATCTGTCTCTCAGATTGTTGAAATAAAGAATTTCCCCCTGTTCATTAGGTAGTCTGTAACTTGCAATGTATTGCATTCTTTTCTGGATTCTCTAAATAAGTATCCTTTACAAGGGTTGTGCTCCAGTGATCCTCTTTGAAGTCATTTGTGTTGTGCATGGGGCCCCTGTGTTATTCCAAAGGAGTCAGCCAGCAGACGGGAGGCCTTTTTTGGCTTGAGTTCCTCGACATCCTTCTGGACAACACAACTTATTTATTGCCTTCTCTCCCCCTCCCATCGCCTCTCTCTATCAGAGCGATCACCACATCGGCCTATCCTTCAAGCTGGACTGCCTGCAAATGCCTCTGCGGTGGTCGGAGGAGATGTGGAGTTCGTCTGCAAAGTTTACAGTGACGCCCAGCCCCACATCCAATGGATCAAGCACGTTGAAAAGAACGGCAGTAAATACGGGCCTGATGGGCTGCCCTACCTCAAGGTCCTGAAGGTGAGGACTTTCTGAGTCTCAAGGGGCCCATAGGGAGGGCTCCCTTGGGGATATGGCTAGATCCTTTGATTTTCTGTTGGATTTCAGAGATGGGTCTCTTTACGGACCAGTCAGTAGTGTGTTAAGGAACTAGCGGCCACTAGGCCTGCTAGTAACACTTCTGAAGGGGGCTGTGGAGTAGGGGAAGGGTTCCTACACTTGGAGTCAGAGGATTCAGCTGTTGGTCAGCCCTGAGGTCTTACAGGAGATGCCAGTGCTGGCTAGCCAGAGGCAAATTTTTAAAGCTGGGGTCAGGGTACTGCTTACAAGGCAGTGTGCTGAGTAAATGGGATGGAGTAGATAGAAATAACTGAAAAGCTCTAGGCATTGTACTAATGTTATTCTGATGTTGCTTTGTGTTTTGTGATCTTTGATGTCATATTTATTATTAGAATCAAATTTTAATAGCCACCTTTTAGAAACAAAAATTTTCTTTTTCGAATTCGCTCTCACCTTTTTTTGTTTCTGCATCTGTAAAATAATGAATGAGAACTTCCTTCTCTTTGTATTTCTCATTAAAAGAAATCCACCTTTTCCCCTCAAGTTTCTGTTTTTGTGGCTTCAGCCTCTTCAATTTTTGGGTCTAGTTTCCACTTCAGCATGGTGAACTAGGTCTGTGTTGTCAATTCTAAGCCACTGACTGCCTGTCTACCATGCTCACACGGAGTGTACTTACAAAGAACAGTCTTCCTGTGCAACTATAGGAGCTACAGGAGGCTAACAAAGAACTCTCAACCAATAAAGTCTTCTCTCTAGCAAGCAATACCCAGGATCCAAAGTGCTGGAGAAAGACGACCAGCCTGGAGAGCTGCACCCATCCCACCAACTGTTCACCCTTTTCTGCCCTACACTATCAGATCACTGCTGTTCTCCACCACGTGGTTTATTTTGTTCCTCTCCCACTCACAACCCTTTAGAAGTAATTAATGGAGATTGTTTTCTTGTGGTGTGTTGGTGATGGGACCATAGGCAGCACCGAGTCCTTCCTGGTTGGCCGTTATATTGTTTTCCTATGTCTGTTCTAGCACTCGGGGATAAATAGCTCCAATGCAGAAGTGCTGGCTCTGTTCAATGTGACGGAGATGGATGCTGGGGAATATATATGTAAGGTCTCCAATTATATAGGGCAGGCCAACCAGTCTGCCTGGCTCACTGTCCTGCCCAAACAGCAAGGTAACAACGTTTTTGTGTTTGTGGTTTTGTTTTTGTTTTTATTTTTTAAAGAAAACTGGATATAGAAGTTGAAAAGACTCGGTGCTTTGGGAGGCAGCAGGCAGCTTCTAGAATAACTCTTGTGGCCTTGGTATATTTACAATGATCTTTCTTTGGTGGTGCAGCTGGCATCATGCCAGCGGCCATGGAAAAATGCCCACAATGTTCGAAGTGCTTGAAGATTATCGTCCACCCCCACCTTGTTTCCAAGCCCTTTTTCTGGTCTGTCGTGTTTGGACTGCACACTTCCCATGATCACTGTGTCTGAGTACCATGTGAACCTTGAGTTTACATGTCTGTTGAGTTTGCAGTATCTGGTTATTTGTCAGGACTCATGCTGCTTTTTACACTGGTTGTGTAGATTAATACTCACACGATAGGATTCGCCTAACGAAACTTTTGTTTGTTTATTTCAATTCCATACCCGATCCTATCCAAAACTGGAGGCTGGTTATCTTCTAGTGAATGTGTGACTGGATGATATTGAAGGTGAAAGGTTGAGTTTTCATTTATCATTAGTCACATTCAGACATTCATATTAAAAAAGGAAACAAAACATTTCCAGTTTTTCTGTAAGACGATGATTTTAGCCTGAGAGAAATTAACCAAAATCTGGTAACTAAGATAACCATCCACCTTGGTTCCCATGGAGTCCGAGGAATGTGTGAGCCGACTTCCTCACAGCTTGTCTTCCATGTTTTGTTCCATCACACAGAAGAACCTCCCCTTTTCTCACAATGGGAATTTGCATCCAACAGGACCAGAACCCAGATTAGCCCTCTGGGTAACAAACTTTTTGGAAACCCACCCCCAAATCCTCACAATGGGAATTTGCATCCAACAGGACCAGAACCCAGATTAGCCCTCTTTTTGGGGCTAAACTTTTTGGAAACCCACCCCCAAATCTAAATGAAAGCAAAGTCAAAGAGAACTCTGTGGGCTCATTTTTCCATGTGTTCAATTGCATGCAAGTCTAGGTGGTGACGCCGGTGTGGTGATGGGCCTGCAGAGGTGAGCTGGCCAGTGTCTCTCAGTGTCTCTTGGTTGTGGGCTTTGTGGATGGGCTGCAGTCGGAATCTCCTGATGGCCGGCACCCCCTGGAGCCGCTGGTACGAGGCCTCTTGGTTCCAAGGCCCTCTCCACAATCATTCCTATGTCTAGCCTTTTTCTTGCTTCCTTTGTTTTCTAGGCCGCCGGTGTTAACACCACGGACAAAGAGATTGAGGTTCTCTATATTCGGAATGTAACTTTTGAGGATGCTGGGGAGTATACGTGCTTGGCGGGTAATTCTATTGGGATATCCTTTCACTCTGCATGGTTGACAGTTCTGCCAGGTACATACTGCTCTTTCTCTCGGTGGGTTTTTCTCCTTTCTCGGTTGATTGCTATAAAATTAACACAGCTTCTGTTCTTAGAAATAGCCTCTTTTATCCATTGCATAAAGATGCAAAGAAAATAAATGTTCAAAATTACCCCCAGGGATAAAAAACTGCCTTAGATATTCACATACAAGGAGATCCCATACGTGTATGTCTAGTAAAATTTCACCTTTAAATCCCAAAGGGATCTTGTAATTTTAGTGAATCATTGAGCTGGTGACTCAGTGAACCTACCCCCTGCTCCTAAGAAGGAAGTCAAAATTATTTGATGAAATTCAAAGTAATCTTCCCCCATTGCAAATTACGCTTTGCTAAAATCCCATATGTGGTTTGATGCCTCTCAGTCCATCTTGCTTACATCTCATTGAATACAGATGGACTTATATTGGGGTGCCCAGGAAGCACCTCGAATGTAGGTATGCAGAAGCAGTGTATTACCTTGGGAATCGGGTGGCTTGCTGCATGCCTCAATAGAGTGGACTTTCAGTTTGCTTTCACTGCAGAGCATGTGTATGCCATCTCGGGCTTGATGTTATTTCTGCCTTCTAGAGAAATCAACATCAACAAAGCCCATCTAAGTCTTTAACCAATGCTTCTGTTCTAGTCCAACTTTCTTGACAAACGCTGCCTTCTCTCACACATTGCCTCGCATTTCCTTTGGAAAACTGCATAGACCGTGTATTGCAGCTCATGATGCTCGTCTATTCCAGTTATTAATGCCTTGTTTCTAGAGTACCATGCCTACTGCATGCTTGTTTTATAGCTTGTAAAAAATAAATCGATCATTTCATTTTGTGCTGTATGTGCTGCTGAGAGTTTTGACTATCTTTGCAAATATTTGTTTTTCTGATTAAAATGTATAAGCTTTAAAATAATAACCATTGCATCCATCTTCCCCTTTGGTTATGAATCTGCTCTGTGAGTATTTATTCATAAAACAGAGACGCCTCTCCTGTTGAGCTTGCTTGTACTTGCAATGCTGTGCTCTGTAAGTGCCCTACTGGTACTTCTTAACCAATTTGCCTGACAGCACTACCCCCTTAAGGAAATGCAGCTTCACGATAAAAATGTTTGGGAATACACTGCTTGTAGAGTGACCATTTGAGAACCAATACTGTTGACAGAAGAACCTGTTAAATCAATCACGTCTCTACTCACATGCAGTACCATATTTTTTAAAGGTTCAGTAACAAGTTAATGTAATTGGATATACAAACATTTTAATGGTTATTAGGTATTGCATATATATTATGTATGTGACTATCATGGTTGATGCATCTGTTTGTTTAATTGAATAATATTCTGGACTGTGTGAAGGGACTCACCAAAACTTTTTGGGCAAGCCTACTAGATGATTGTGAACTCCCTGTGGAGCTGTGATCCTCTGGGGACCTGTTGAGCCTTCCCTTGAAGTGCCTCCCTTAGTAACAGCAAAGCATTGTCCCTGTCTCCTTGAAACAAAAGTGGATGTGTTCCTTTTTAACAGTTTCAGTTTGGGTTATGTTTTGTGGCATCATTGCCACACCTTCCTGTAGTGGGTGGCCTGGATATCCTGCTCTGTCCAGTGGCCTAGCGGAATGTGGCCTTGTAGTCTTCCATTACATTTTGATATCAGCTACTCACTGGTCGCAGATGCCCTTTGAGGCTAGAGAAGGTGGCTGCCTGGGTTGTGTTGATAAACTGAGGAGCCCTTGGCTATTTGTTAGCATTTGGAGAGGCCCAGGCAGGAAGCACAAGGCTGTTGTGCATCTGGGTATCCTTCTGCATTGACTTATTGTTGGGGAAGCCCTTGTTGCTTTGGGAGTGATTCCTTGAGATATACTATGATGCATCCCTCTGGTATCCTAACTCTGTGGCCTGCTTATTTGTTCCTCTCCTGTGATCTGAAATCTAGCACCTGTGAGAGAAAAGGAGATTACAGCTTCCCCAGATTACCTGGAAATAGCTATTTACTGCATAGGGGTCTTCTTAATTGCCTGCATGGTGGTGACAGTCATCTTGTGTCGAATGAAGACCACAACCAAGAAGCCGGACTTCAGCAGCCAGCCAGCGGTGCATAAGCTGACCAAGCGCATCCCCCTGCGGAGACAGGTAACAGAAAGTAGATAAAGAGTTTGAAGAAACTTATTCCCCTTTATCACCCAGCCAGCTCTAGGATCTTTTCCTGTGCTTTGATTTCCCCCTCTAACTTCTGTGAGCTTCAACATGTAGGTATAACTTGCCACCATATAGAGGATCAATCAGCATTTGGAACTTAAAGCCTCAAGTCACTGGACAGCTCTGGGGTTGGTGGGTGGGGTCCAATTTTAAAGGCAGAAAGGACAGCAATGTGCAAATCAGAGCTGCTCAGTGGGATGGGCAGTTACTCTGGAGGTAGTGTCCTCTGGGTTGGTGGTAAGATGCAAGGACAGGAGTCTGTTGGAAGAATAGGTATTTTTGTTTGGGATACATTGCTTCTTTATAAAATGGGCTTGGATATTCAGATGGAGCATCCACCATGAAAAGGAAAAAGACTCTTTTTTTGTTTGTTTGTTTGCTTGTTTGCTTTATTGTTTTAAGTAGAGATGAGTAACACACAGTCTGGAGGTACAACTAAATGATTGCTTGCATAAGAGTGACTTCAATTTCTTCTAAACTGGGTTTTGGCTATCTGCCTGGTTTTTAAAATAACATTGTATGCTTATATTATTGCCTGTAGGGTATAGATGTGGCTAAGGATTCAGTGATAGGATGATTTTATGTATGTGTGTGCACAAGTGTGTGTGTGTGTGTGTGTGTGTGTGTTTGATAAGCACATGTGTTTAGGTGCCTGTGGAGGCCAGAAGAAGATGTCTGATCCCCTAGTGCTGTAGTTACAGGGAGTTGGGGGCTTTCTGACATGGTGGTGGGAGTTGAACTCTGGTCCTCTAGAAGAACAGGAAGCACTTCTTAACTACTGAGCCATGTCTCCAGTTCCGAGATAAGATATATGGAACAGGGAGAAAGTTACCTTTTACCTTGAACTTGGTCTTTGATGACTAGCTTTGGGGGAGATGAGGCAAGATGGAACATTCACTGTTCCAGAAAACAACGCCCTTAAAAGTAGATGGGAAAGGAAATGTTGGAATTCTTCTGCTTTCTCATGGAGACTGAGGGCCGGGGATCGGTGGATATAAATCTTTGTGAAAGGATATGGAACTTGATTTTGATAAGACTGCCATTTTTTAAGTAGAAACTGAAATGGCCAACACTGGCTGGGGTCCACTGTACATCTTTGTAGAACCTGCATGTGTTTGTTAAAATTGTATATTCATTAGTCTTGGCCCAAGATTCTTATTCAGTAAATCTTGAATGGATCTGGAAGTTTGCATTTTAAACAGGTGATGCTTATGTGATATTCTAAGAATCTCTGGGCTTGACCCAACTCTGCCTTTCCTGAACCTTCGACTAGCAAGGTCCTTTCTGTAGACAAGGTTCTAGGAGGGACTGGGAACCAGCTGGCCAGTAGTGACTTGGGCACAGACCTGGCTATTCTCAACCCTGCTTCCCACTACATGCTGAGCAGGTCCTTTCAGCCTCCTTTCCAACATGTGTTTCTTGGAGAGGCTTGGGAAAAACTCTGGAGCATATGTCAGATGCAGCCGATGACCAACTGTGTTGAGTGTGGGGATCAAAGAGGCCTGGTGGATTCCTTCTGGTTCTTGAGAATGCTGTTGCTAGTCTGAATGACATTAATGTCATTTGGGGAACTAGAGAAGCAAGATGGGGCTGGAGTTAATTTGTTGCCCAGTGAGTTGCAGGGAGAGTCTGATCATAAGATATTTTTTTTTACCTGGCCAGGTACTGCCAAGGGTTTAGGTAGTAGCCTCTCCTCATCTCTTATCCCTCGACCATTCATCTTCCATAACATCTTCCGTATTGGAACTCTGGCATAGGGAGTTTAAATAAAGGAAATGATACCTTTATTTAAAATTATTTGTTCTTACAGTAGGGGGAACAAGTGAAATCTATAACTAGATATAGCTGGGCCACTGGCCCATAGTTAATTCATAATTTAAAAAATTCATCTTTAATGTGTATTTATGTTTATACATGTGTACAGGAGCTCTTGGGTTGCCTGAAGAGGGCTTTGATGCCTTAGAACTAGAGTTAGAGGTAGTTTTGAGCTGTCTAATATGGGTGCTGGGGCTGGAACTTGGGACCTCTGCAAAAGCAGCAAGAGCTCTTAACTACTGAGCTATCTCTCCAGCCCTTATCACTTTTAAAGAAAACCTGTCTTACATTTTTAAAAATTTATGTAGTGCGTACGCGCACGCGTGCTGGTGCATGCTTATGAGTGTTTGTGTGGGGGGGGGTGGTGGGGGAGTGGGTGGGCATGCACATTATATAGGATGTCTATGGTGACCAGAGGACAACTTACATGGGAGCCAGGGCCTTCTTCCACCATGTGGTTCCATGAATCAAACAGGTGGGACTCTCAGTGTTGAGTACTCCTACATGATGAGTTATCTCACTGGCACCATCATCTTTTAAAGAGAAAATTTCACATCTGCTGCCATGTTCTTCCTTTTTCTTCATGTGAAGAAGGCAGATGCCCTTGAGTTCCCCTTGACACATGTGTTCGTCATGTCTTCCTCTCTCTTTGGCCAACTGACTTTCTTCATTGTCCATCTCCACCTAAGCTCTCCATTTTTCTCAAATCACCTGTGCACCCAAAGGGAAACTTTGGGTTTCTTCTCATTTCCCTCCTCTTTCATTCATTGTCATTTACTTAGAAGTACAGCTTAAACCAGTCATTGTTTTAGTGCATGGGCCTAAACTAGGGTTTTTGGGCTGGGGATGTAGCTCAGTGGTGGTAGAGTGTTTGTCTAGCATGTCCATTCCCCAGCCATCCTCAAAAACATAGAACTCATCACTAGTAATAATAATAATAATAATAATAATAATAATAATAATAATAATAATTTGAGCCAGTTTCAGGTCAGATAAAGCCTGTCCATTTGCCATTGAGTGCAAGGTCCTTTTGAAATGTTTCACCTGGGTCACACTGTATAAGAAAAGTGTGTGAGCACCAGGCCCTCTGGATAAATAAGTCTCTGAGAGATAAATGAGTTGAAAGGGTGTTGCTGTACCCCAGCATTTCCTAGAGTGTACGGTACCTCTCTTCCCAAGGATTTTCCAAAGCACAGCCCCCTGTGGGGAGGAGGAGATGCTTATCTTGTATCTGGATAAAGAGGGTATTGGGCTGTGGCTAGAGGGAAAAGTCCCACAAAGGCCTGAAGATAGGTTAATGACAGAGTGAATACCACAGGGATGCCAAGCATGCCTTTACCTGGCGACAGATGAGCCTGTAATCAGACGTCTGGAGGATGGGTGCTCCCAGGCATTCAGAGGCTAGGCTTCGCTCCTAGATGGTGCAGCTAGAGTCTACTTTTGATCCTCCTGGCCCTGATTCTTGACCTTCACAGCATAGAGGCTCACAGCCTCTCTCCACTCATTTCACCCTTGTCTTTGTTTTAGAACAAGAAAAGTTGGTGTGTTTATTCGTGTTGTTTATTAGCGTGTGAATTCATGCATGCAGGTGTGTAGGTGTGTACAGATGTGTGCTGAGGTAAAATGATAACCTCAGGTGTGGTCCACTCCCTACCCCTTTTGGTTTTTTGCAGTGAGAACTTTCTCACTCCCTGGCCTGAAACAGCCAACTAGGCTGTGTCACCTGTGAGCCCCAGGGCTGATCCTCTGGGTTGGAATTCCAAGTGTCGGCTACCCCGCCTGTTTTTTTTTTTTTTTTTTTTTTTTTTTTTTTTTTTTTTTTTTTATGTAGGTTCTGGAGATTGCTCTCAGGTCGAGGAAGGCTATTTAGCTACTGAACCACCCCCTTCTCAGCCCTGCTTTCTCCTTGATGTTTACTTCCCTGCCATGAACTTCTTTCAAGCAGATATTTTACTTTATGTTATTTTTTTCTGAGGCAAAAAAATATAGGTTTTTGCTTGTTTTCAGTATCGAATTCTTTATAGCATTTTCTAATAAACATTAATTTGGAGACTTTTTATGCACTTTGATGCTTGGAGAAAGAAGAACAACTTTAGAGGTTGGTAGCTCTTGGGATCTCCCTGTTAATGAGGACTCATCCCTGCCTTCCAAGGCCAGGATGGGACACTTTGTAGGCACTGCTCACCTGCCTCTACTTCTTGGTACATGGTGTGTTCAATGGCAGTAGCCAACCCGGAGAAAGGCACTTTGCGAGCAAATTGGACCACCAGTGGCCAATGAGAAATGGTCTTTGTATACCCCTGAGTCTAAGGGGAGGGGTTTGCCTTGTTATTTCCACAGGTCCCTTGTCACAGGGAGCATGGGTGTAGAGAGGGACAGAGGAAGAGGAAACCTTGCTCAAGGCGGTGCTGTGTTTGATGAGAAGGTTTCACGGGGTTGTCAGCTCTTCCTCTGAAGCCAGAAGCTTGCGTAGGGCAAGATGGAGGAGATTCAGCTAGCTGTTGATTGGCTGTGTCCAGATGAATCCACAGCCTACCCATCTCCCAGTCTCACAAGGGACAGCTGTGTCTGTTCTCAGCTGCAACCATTGACGTGGGTAGCCGAGAAAACCAGACAACAATTTCATCATGCCTTTGAGCCATATGGTTCTTAGGGGTGGAATGGAGGAACACTGGGTTCCAGGGCTGTTCTCATGGCAGCAAGGTATTCATGGTATTGGAGTATACCAAACTCATCGAAAGTAAGTTCTGACTTAATCACTGCTTAGCAGCTCAGCTCCATGATCCGGAATCCCCTTCATGATGTTGCCAATCCAGTGTTGCAGTATGCTGGTTCTAGAAACATTTGGACAACTGTTAATTGTGGATGACCCTAGTGGAGTCTCCCCTTTTATAGAGATCTCTCGCCTTCCCTGCCACCCCCCCCCCCTTCAGCCTGTCGTTTCTCTCAGCCTCTTTGACCCAGATCTACTCTGGACTTTTTCTGATGAGGTCTAAATATAATCAGAATTCCTGAACAAGGTACTTTTATTGTTGTGGTAGGCCATTCAAGTACCTGCGGGTGGTAGGGGCTGTTTAAGGGGAAGCTTGGATAATTACCTAGATTTTGTTATAGAAGGGGAAAAATCCACCCCTAAAAGTCCCCTGACGCTTGGTGTGGTGCAGTGCTTGGCCTTAGAGATGTGTGGAGCTAGACTTATGGCAGAAGTATGTGCACCCTGGGCTTCTGTTCTGATGTGGAAGGCTCTATCCACCACCTGGGAGCCAGAGGGGGTATCTCAAGTCTGTTGTGGTCCAAGGTTATGCGTTAGTCCTCAGGAATAAGACAAACATGGTTCATCCCTCGCCATCGTGTCTTTGCTTCTGCCTGCTTCTGCTGTCATCTGTGAAGTTTCCTCTGGATGTCAACTTAATTCAGAATAAAGAGATACCGCTATTTCTTGGTGGCCCTTTAAAAAGAAATGGGGAGAAAACCCACTTCCTCCCTTAATCTCCCATATGTACTGTGGAAATATATGAAAAGCACATTTAGTTAAAAAGCTTGATTTATGGCACGTGGTAAAGAGATCCCACCATGTAAGGCAGCCGAATTGGAGACTGTGAAGAGTGCACGGCTTTTAAAAAACCGCCTGCCAAGATTTGGCTGGGTGGGGAAACCGTTTACTAGAGTGTTAGCATTTATTGTTTATAAGTGACTTCTAACACTGGGATGTTTTTAAGCGTGTTGAAAGGGAAGCTCCAAAATTGAAGTTTCTAGATTAAAGATTGAAGACTATCTGAGGAGGGAAGTTATAATTTAAAAAGAAGAGAAGTAAAACCAATAATATGATGGTTCTGAGGACACGAGTGACTTCCATGGTGGGCGGCAGGACCATGATTCAGAGGGAAGGAGCCCCTGAAACACAGGGTTCCTCAGGGAACCCCTGGCGGAGTGTTGCCAAGCCCTCCAGACAGGTTGAGTTTCTGAGGAAAGGGGAGTGAAGAGAAAGCCAGTCATACTTTACAGTCCCAGAGGGGATTTTAAATGTATAGTAAAATGCATGGAGGTAAAATTAAGATGTACCTCTGTGGACAGGGAGAGCAGACTCTGTATGTTCAGACACTTGGGGTATTTTCTTACCCTTTCTCTCTCTGTGTGTGTTTTTTACAAAGGTATTTCCCAGACTTGTACATTGAATCTGAATCTGCACTTTATACTGAACAAAATTCCCACATGTAAACACAGTTTTATATTTTAATAGCAACGGCTACAGCAAAGACTGTCAAGGTTTTTTTCTTCCATGTTATTTTTTGGTTCCTCGCCTCCCCCTTTCCATTTTGAAACATTAAAACCTTGTGGAGATGCGCTGTTGCAGGGGGTGTGTGTGTTTATATGGTAAACTTGTGCCACAGGCTGTGATGTGCATTCCCATTGGGTCAGAGGTTCTCCATGGAGCAGTTAATGTCAGACCAGATGGTAAATCTCTTTGATTAGAGGTAGCCACTAAGTCATATTCACCAGCAGGACTTTGTTACCCCATAGCCTTCCTTCATCTGCCCTGGACTTAACTAACTCCTACATTGTTTTAAATCTCTTGCTTCCTGGAGCCCCAGGCCATCCTGGCTGGCAGCTGAGGGTCCCATCTTGCCAATCGGACATTCAGTATCCTGTATAACATCACAACAACCCCACACAGCACAGCACAGCACAGCACAGCACAGCACAGCACAGCACAGCACAGCACAGCACGCTGATGAGCTATGGCTGTCCAAGCTTGGCAGCAGGCGCTTAGCTTGTGCTGTCTTCCTTCTGTCATGCTAGCTCCGTGAGCTGGGACTGAGACCTCCTGAGACTCACACTTAGTGTGGATTATAACTGGGACTTAGACTCGGGAATCTGACCTTGAGCACATTGTGCCATTGACCAGGGTGTAACCCACCAGACTCAGGACAGCTTGGCCTTGGGTGGTCACTGGGTACACATATTGAAGGATGTGGAAACATCACAAAACAGGCTGGCGGCACAAGAGAGGGGTGGAGACAAAGATTTTGCTGTTTTCTAACTGAAATCTGCGTATTTCAAGCTCGTGCCTTCCTTTTTTCTTAGCTCATGCTTGTTTTATTCCAAATGATATTTTAGTTAAAGAAAGAACTTCTACTGAAACATAAAAGAAACAGAAGACCATGGTAATAAAGTTTAAATGATATAGAAAATTCTGGAATAAGGCCTGTTTCTTACCCTGCTCCCAATTCTTGATCTCTCTCCCCAAAGGTGACCACTGCTAGCCTTAGCTATCCTTCCACAAAATGCCTGTGGTGGCATTCCATCCTGCAAGCTTCCCCAGGGTGAGCACTGGCCCCAGGGACAAGCCACAGAAACTGTGATATGCCACTGGCTTATCAGCATTAACACCATTCAGCACTGTGATCTCCTGAGATTTCCCAATTAGTGTCCCCCCCTCACTGGTCCTAGCACACAGTGGTTCCTGACAGTTTAGTTCTGGAACTTTGGGGGTCCAGTGATGCAGAGCCAAGCTGATGGTCCTGTGAAGAGTGTCCGGGATGCACACAGCCTCCCCCTGGCTCTTTGCTCTCTGGGTCCTGTATTGTCTCATTACTGAGCTGACAGTTACTAATTTGGCCATGACTACTTGCCTCTGATCCCCTGGCATGAATTTTTTTTACAGTAAATGATGCTTTTTGTTTGTTTGTTTGTTTACCTTTTTGTGTGGAAGGACTACTAGAAAGATCTTTAAAAAACAAATAAATTTACATACCTTTTGCAAGCATAACCTATGACCCTGATTCAGAATAAGTCAGGCAGGTGGCTGCAGGGAAGCATGGTAGGCCAACACTGTTCCAGAATCGAAGCTCTGAGTCCCTTTTCTGTGGATGAAGCTCATAATATTTTTGTGGCCAGTGGAAAGTGGGCATCGTGATGTTGTCAGAAAGCTCCTGGTTTCTGATGGAGCCTGCAGATAAGGATAGCTCACTACCATGAGGCTGGACATCACGCAGACTGCAGACCATGGAAGGGGCTTGGGAGTCATCCTTTGTTATGCTCTGGGTGGGCCTCTTAGTGGTTTTAGTAAGAAGCAAGTAGGGTGGATTCTAGCTCATCTTTTCCTGTTCCCTTCTACATTTGCTTTTGAGATTGGGATCCTTGAGGGTGTGGTTTCTCCAGGACAGGACAAAATCAACCCTTTGGTTCCTAGTTAAAAAAAAAAAAAAAAAAATCAACCTTTGTTGTGCCACAGTGAGTAAAGGCCCTGTCTGCATAGCAAAATGTAGATATAGCTTCTCCTTGGAGGTTGGTGAGATGGCTCAATGGGCAAAAGTGCTTGCCAAGCCTGATGATCTGAGTTCAGTTCCTGGAACCTATTCAGTAGAAAGAACTGACTCTTAGAAATTGTCCTCTGACCTCCCCACAGATATGCATACGAACACACACACACACACACACACACACACACACAGAGAGAGAGAGAGAGAGAGAGAGAGAGAGAGAGAGAGAGAGAGAAATTTTTTAGTGAAAAAAAAAAAACACCTTTTCCCAAAGACAACACAGAAGGTTCAGAGGTTCAAAAATATCCCCATGTATTTTTCAAATGATAATTGAATTTCACATTAAAATTCACTCCTTGATTTCAATTTCTTTGTTGTTGTTGTTGTTTGTTTTTTGTTGTTGTTGTTTGTTTTTTGTTTGGTTTTTTGAGATAGGGTCTCTAGTCTTGAACTCACTATGTAGCCAAAGGATGACCTTGAACATCATTGATTTTAATACCACAGGTGCCTTTTCTCACTTCCATTAAGGGTGGTTGGGATTTTTGAAGAGTAGAAGGGTATGCCAGATGGAACAGTTCTGGGAAGAACATAGGTCTTTGGGTTCCTTGGGATCTACCTGTGAAAGTTCCTTTGGCTTCATCTTTGCCTGTTGGATTGAGGAGATGTTTGTATCAGCTGAGGATTGCCAACCAAGCCGGCAATGGAAGCCAGGATGCTTCCTGTCTAACCTCACATTCCATGTGTCTTTGGCCAAAGTCTCAGTAGTGGTCTAGTATAAAGCAGTGCCCAGCAGCCCACAGTCAGACCAAGGCTGTTTAGCCATACCCAGGCATAGCCTTCATGTAGGGCTCTGCATAAATTTTCTTTCTTGGGAATCAGCCAACAAGAGACCCCGTGTTTAAGAGATAAACACTGTGTCTGACCTAGGCTGATTCCAGATCAAGGGAAATCGGAAAGTAACTTGGTAAAGCCCTGTGTGCTGCCAGGTGGGAGAGGATCCTTCTTCCTGTGTGGTTCTGAGTCTTTCCCTCAACTCTTGTCCACTGTCCTGCTTACTGAAGCTGAATTGATAAGATCCAGCCCATTTCACTAAATGGGCTGGGCATCATCAAGTTTCAGAAGGACTGGGGAGAGATGAAGAATGACCTCCTGATGCCTGGGCCTTGGCTTTCCTTGAATGAAAGACCCCGAGTTACCAGAATGCCCTTCCCACAATACCCTCCTGTTCTTTCTTTGAGGTGCCCTTTTTACATTTTGGAGGCAAAGGCAGTGGAAGAACTCATCTGCCAAGTGTTTGTGAATCCCTGCTGCTGATTTGGTTTTGGGTTTGTTTTTATTTTATGGTGCTGGAAATGGAACTCAGGGGCTTGCACATGCCTTGCCAGCACCCTGTATTTGGGCCCAGCCTTCATGTCCGTGAATCTCAGGAGCACGGCATTGATCTGTGGTCTGAGCAGGGCTAAGGATATCTTCGTCATCCAGGGCCCTAAATAAGGAAAGGCAAAAAGACAGTGAAGAAGCCATGGGGTCTGCCTGCACATTCTTAAGTGGCTGTCTTTAAAAATTATGAGGAGAAAAGAAATACCATGATTAAACTTCTATAAATATTTTTGTGGGAAACCTCATATTTCCTTTGACTTTTTATTTTGGTTCACTTTTTTTTTTGTTGTTGTTGTTGCTTGGTTTTTGTTTTTGTTTGCCTGGTTTCTTTCTCTTTCTTTGTTAAGAACTGATGTTCTGGCTGGGTCTCAGCTCATTTCCAGGCTCCTTAGGTAGAACCAGGGTTACATCTGCCTCTTTGCATTTTGTATCCAGGTTTCAGCTGAGTCTAGCTCCTCCATGAACTCCAACACCCCGCTGGTGAGGATAACGACTCGCCTGTCCTCTACGGCAGATACCCCAATGCTAGCAGGGGTCTCTGAGTACGAGTTGCCGGAGGATCCGAAGTGGGAGTTCCCCAGAGATAAGTGAGTACTTCTGCAAACGGCTCCAGTGAACACTTAGCTATAAATGGAAATATTGGATTGACATTTTCTTTTCATGGCCTTTAGCTGCAAAGGTCTTACTCTGACATTGTCAACAGGAGTGAGATTGTAGTTCTAAATAACCCACTCCTGGAAAGAAGAATTAATTTTTTTTTTTTAAATATCTCCTTTGGAGCAGAGCTACAAAGTCCCATCTAGTAACCAATGAAGATGGCATTTGGTTACCATTGTTTGAGTTTCTAGACAATTCAAACCCAGTCAAATGGAACAAAAGTGGGGTTAATGTAGTCTTTAACACAAAGCTGACATTCCAACTTCTGGTTACTAGAAATTGCCTTAAGGATTTTGTTTGTTTTGTTTTTAGTGGTTATCCATGTGATATTGGGCTGAACAGTTTCAAATCTCATACCTGATACCTGAGTTCTATGGTCTACAGTACTTTTGCTTTCTGGTTGCTAGAGAGGTATCTAGTTATGTGTTGAGGCACAAGGTTGCCACCCAGGCTTGACGGGCATTGCTAGGAGCTGTTTTGTCTCATGGCCCAGCCTGCATAACTCCGTGTAATTTGGCCTGTGCCTGGGCTGATTTGGAGTCCCAGTTCTGCCAGCTAGTGGCTGGACAGACTGGAGGGATTCACTCAGTTCTCTGAATTTCTTGCCTATAAAATGATGGTCATGGTCTACACCTCCTGAGAGTAAGCATAAGTCTTGGTTGTTGGAATCTCTCATTTTCACTTGTGTAAACCAGGGACCTTTGAACTGCAAACTTCAGCAAGATGGTGTATTTAACAGAGCTGGTGGTGCAGAGGGTGGCCCACCAACTTCTACCCTCTAGGTAGAGACCAACCCTGGCACAGCTTCCTTCTTGTAGGATTAGAGTATACAGCTCAAGAGTAGCAGAAGGTGGAAATGTTGGCTCTTTCTGCATCAGATACACAGGAATAAACTCTCAGCTTGCTTGAAAACAACTAGCCCACCTATCTTGATATTGGCAGTGTCTTCCTAAGATTATGTTAGTGGTATGTTTAACACACTCACTGTGTGTGTGCGTGCGTGCGTGCGCGCAGATTCAAGAACACAAAGACAAGATTTCCCTAGACTAGATGGCCAGTTCTAATTGAAAGGGGAAGGAAGCGTGGGCCTCACTTGGGTCTTTGAGACACACAATTCCAGGCACTTTGGTTCCCAATTTAGAGATCATCACATATATTGTAATCTAGGGCTGAGTAACTGCCTATGAAGCCTTCAGTTTGTGTCAATAGAAATCATTTCTAGCTTATTTGTATACTGCAGTGAAAAGAGCATTTCATTCCTTCATTCATTCAGGGAATGTTTATTGGGCATTTTTAACTGGTGAGGTACCAGAGAAAACACAAAGAATGGTTTCTTTACCTGTAGAATTTTGATAGAGGAAGAGATGTTTCTCTTGACCCCCCGCCAGTTCCCTAGCTGTGCATGATTATATAAATGGCTGGATTCATGTGCACATTCCTACATACACAAGACTGAATTGGGGAGTTGTGCTTGTATGTTAAAAACTTGCAGTTTTCAGGTTGAGTCTGTATTTTTGGCCACCTGTGACACCAGTCAACAGTGCAAGTCTATGTTGCCCAGCGGCTCTCACTCAGGGGTACCTAAGTGTGGAAAATCTGAGCACTATGCATTTCCAAGCAGTATTTAGCACAAATGTAGGAGGAGCAGATTTTCAATGAATGAAGGCTATTTAGAAGCGGTTTATTAGATTGGAGGCAGAAGTTACACAAAGAGAGGTTTGTTATACATGTGGTAGCGGGGCAATAGGACATAAATTAACCATTTTCCAACGCAAATGTTTATTTTCTGCCAAGATGTTCAATTTAATTTTATTTCTGGACTGAAAGGCAATACCTTCAGCATAGCATGTGCTGCCCTCTGTTTTCTTTCTCTTTTGAGCTTTTGAAAAGGTTGTATACTTACTGTAAATGCCGTATATTGAGGACAGCTGAATACTTGTGCTTATGTAAAAAAAAAAAAAAAAAAAAGCACACTCAAGCTGGAGAGATAGCTTCATGGTTAAGAGCCTGTACTGCTCTTGTAAAGGACCAGAGTCTGGTTCCCAGCACCCATGATGGATGGCTCACAACCCCCTGTAACTCCAGATCTGGGGGATCTGATATATCTAGGCTCCATGGGTGCCTGCACTCACATGTACATACCACCTCCCCAGAAACACGCATACACATAATTAAAAATAAATCTTAAAAAAAAAACACTCAGAAATATTCCAAAGACCTCCCCATGGAACACCTAAAACAATGTCAGGCTGTTTCATCTGACATGCCCAGAACTTTTATGCTTAAAAATGTAATTTTGTGTGATTTTCTTTCTATTTTCATGTTTATTTGGGGTGGTAATAAGAATTTTTAAACTTCTGTCAAAAAAAAATACCCTGCCCGTTTTCTAAAAGTTGCTTTCAGTGAGAAACTATGGATTCTTTGAAATGCGTTGGTGATTCCTACCCTGTCACTTGGCAAGCAGTGTAACCATAAAATCTACTGCTATCGCGTAAGAGTGATTTGAAAGCTGCCACTTTACAGGGACAGAAAATAAGAGCAGTCTTTCACATTTTTTTTCCTCTGCGACATTTTAAATTACAAATATTTAATTGGCTCAAGACCAAAAGCTCCTCAGAGTTGGCACGCAGGGAAGCTGACCACCTCACTAGCAAGGACACCTTCCATAAAGAAAAAGAAAATAAATCAAGAGCACGAATGTGAAATTTAATAGCTGCTCCAACAGTAATTGACGTTCTGCAAAAAAACGTCACTAAGAAAATACCCCGTGTGTGCATCAAAGTCTCATTGGTTCCATATGCATGCCTCTGGAAGATTTTTTTATATTTAGTTCTGGAATTTCCCTCCCTGTGCCCCTCAGCCAGGCGCTCTGTGCTAATCCCCTATTTACACATTTAGGCTGACGCTGGGCAAACCCCTGGGGGAAGGTTGCTTCGGGCAAGTAGTCATGGCTGAAGCAGTGGGAATCGATAAAGACAAACCCAAGGAGGCGGTCACCGTGGCAGTGAAGATGTTGAAAGGTGAGTGGGTGGATGGGAGGGCCGGGTGGGCCTTATCAAGAGTGTTCCTTTTGTGGCACGTGAGCTCTGCAATAATGTGGGGTCAGAGAGCACATACTTGACCTGGAGGTTGAGGGGCTTTCAGGATAAATGAGCATCTGAGACAGAGGATTTACCTTGAGCTGTATGTACTGAAAAGAAAAGCCAGTTGATGCACAAGTGGTAGCTTGCTGGGTCCAGTTTTTCTGTGACCGATTTGGTCCTGGTTGATTCTCCTCTCCTGTGTATTTGTGGGCTCATAAAGTTTAGGGGTTTAGGTGGGAATTGAAAAGGTAAATTTGAGACCCAAACTTTAACATACAAACAAGGAGAGGTTGAGTATTGGAGTGGGAACAAGGAGGGCCAGGAAACAGAAAGCCACATTCTGTCAAAATGTGGAGCTGAAGAGTCACTTAGAAGCCAAAAAAGGAACAGACAGGATTGGCACTAATATAGAATCTCAGGGACATGTAAACAGTTACTCCACGATAAAAAAACGCCCCCCACCCTTTTTTTTTTTTTTTTTTTTTTTTTGGTGGGAGCCTGAATGCTTGTAAGCAGCCTTTCCAGACCAGTTTGATGCCCAAGGAGCTTAAATTATTTTTAACTGTTAACTTATCCTTACACAATATTCTTTTATACAAAGAGTTAAAGGGAAAGGTCACGTAAATCCTGTTGTGGGAATTTCAGAAAGGTTTCGTGCCCAGTGTTTCCCTCCCTTGTGGGCAGAGAGGCCTGTCTTGGAAGTCTAGGATGTTTGCACATTCTCAGGAGTTAGGCCATTTCTTTCTTTAGTAGGATGCTTACCACACCCCTCCCTGCTGAGAACATGCAGACAAGAAAGGGCAGGAATACCATTCATTTTGTCTTTTTAGCTATTGACTGAGATTCCCAGGGAACTCTGAGATGGTCCTTGCTTTGGAGGTTGATTCCAGGGAGGAGATAGCAAGTATCTAGGTACCAGGGCAGAGGCAGCCTTGATACCTGCTGGGAACTGTGGGATAGGGAGGACCAGGCGTCATACAGTTTTCTATGCCAACTCCTGGTTTTGAGATCCCTGGAGCTATTGCAAAAAGGAGGGTATAGGGTTGGCCCCTCTCTTTAAGCAAGATTGTCTACCATCCTTTTCATCATGGTCAGAGAACATTGGCCCCAAAGCCTTCTCAGCATCCTTTGTGACAACCAGAGTATGGCTAAGGTCTAGAGAAGGCAGCATGCTGAGCGTGTGTCTATAGGCTGCTCTATTCCCACATCCCTTCCCTCTTCTCCATATAGGTCAGGGTAGACCTATTTATTTCATTTTTAAAGACAGAGTCAGTCCTTATTCTTTTCTTTCAGCTCAGATTTTATGAACTGAACTTGTGTTAGCTCAGTGGCGGAATGCCTGAGTGGCATGCGCATGGCACTACACACAACAAAATAATAGCCGAAGAGTTAACTTAAAGGAGGGCACACCGGAAATGGTCTTGCTTCTTATTTGAGCATTCCCTGTGAGCCCATGTGTGTTGGGTCTCTGCCATGCATGTGCCATGCATGTGAGACGTGACTTGTACTTCTCTTTTAGGGTGGTAATTGGAGCTATTGAGAAAACTTTTGGCTCACTCAGACTTTCTGTATGTATACACATTTACAGATGCACTTATGGGCTACTTCCTGGGCCTAACTTTGAATAAGCTAAAGGTTGTGTTTGGAATTTTTGCTCTGTAAAAACAAATTTTATAGTAATTCCCAATGTTCCTCCTATGGTTTCCTCCCCATCATTCTTGGAGTTGCTGGGAGCATCAGGAAGTCTGGTGTATTCTAGAAGGTTCCTTAGATACTTCAGAGGATGGGGTTAGTTCACGATCAAGAACTTTGCTGCAAAAGACTTGGCCTTAGTGTTGGGGGCTTAGGTTTGGTCCCAACTCTTGACCATGTGACCTCTTTGATGCTGAGCGAGACTCCCTGCTTCAGCTTTTATCTCTTTGCTGATTAGATGGGGAAATGTTTCTGGTCCTAAAGTTCAACTCCGTGGTGTTCTAACAGAGTTTGATGGCTAATAGGGTGACAGCCTGGGCAATGGCAGAAACCAATTTATTGATTCACCTACTTCATGTTCCTAGATGATGCCACGGAGAAAGACCTTTCTGATCTGGTATCTGAGATGGAGATGATGAAGATGATTGGTAGACATAAGAACATCATCAACCTGCTGGGGGCCTGCACCCAGGATGGTGAGTAGAAGGGTGTGTTTTCTGTCCATATACTGCACCGCTGGCCAGCAGGCGTCATCTAGAAACAACTAGATTTGTTGTCGGGTTTCTGCTCATAGGGCATCTCAAGGGCATATGTCCCCTTCAGACAGGCAGTACACACCTATCCCGGCACCCAAGAGGCTGAAACAGGAGGATCACAAGTTTGACAGCCTCAGGTGTATATTAAGACTGCCTCAAAATTACACAAAAGTAGAGGCTGGAGAGACAGTTCAGTCAATAGAGGGCTGGCCTTGCAAGCATGAGGACCCATCAAGTCTATATTTAGAGGTGAGCTTTTGTGATCCTAGCACTGGGGAGATGGAGAAAGGTGGATCCCAGGACTCACTGACCGCCCTCCTCGTCCTGCTCTGCCCCCTGCCTTAGCCTTCTCAGTGAGTTCCAGTCAGTGAGAGACTCTGGCTAAAAAACAAGACTATCTTCTGGCTGCCACACATAAGCACACATATACAAATACAAACAAATATATGCATGCATACATACACACATGTTTTTAAAGGTTACTTTTATTCTACCCTAAGGAAGATTATTACCAGCCACAGGTGCACAGTGAGTCTGTGGCTGGCCCTGGTTGGGGGGGGGGAGCATGAAAATTTGGGCATGGGGGCTGTTTTGGAAAGGGCTTTCTTCTGATGCTTTTGTTGTGTGAGGGGCAAAGAGAGATTTCTTGAAAAAAAACTAACATGCTTTGGTTGGGAAATTCTTCCCTTAAAATGGGGGCTGAGGAATTCTGTCTTGCTACAGGCAGCAGATGGCTGAGCTCTCAAGAATAGCTTCACAGACAGAGCGTGGAAGGAAAGAGCAGTCTCCCCTAGGGGAAATGATTCCCTGGGTGCTCCCACGAGTGCCTACTGGCGCTTTAGAAATCAACTTGACAGTAATTAGTAGACTCATGCTTATGTGGCGTCTCCTTTAGGTGTGCAGGGATTGGAACCTTCTTCTCCAAAGAGCAACTGTAGATATTTTAGACTTTTATGGACTCGTGGTCTCTGTTACAGAAACACGTCACTACCATTACATTGGAAAATCAGCCGTTATGAAACAGATATGAATGGGCATAGCTGTGTGACAATAAAATATGATGGCTCAGTCTGGTACTGGACAGGATGTGGCCTGGAGACCATTCTTTCCAGCCCTGGAGTCTATACCATGCTCTGGCTATTTGAAGCCCTCTAAATTCTCATCTTTTATTTCATCCTACAAACTTAACATTTACTTATCCTTACAATATATGTGTATGCACACACAAGCATCACACATCAGATACCCTGCATAGCAGATATTTACATTACAAGTTATAATAGTAACAAAAGTGTACAGTTATGAAGTTGTTAGGGAAACAATTTAATGGTTGGGGGTCACCACCGCATGAAGAACTGCATGAAAGTTTGCAACATTAGGAAGGTTGGGAACCACTGACATAGGGGAAAGAAAGGCTCTGACAGGAAAGTTACTACAGCTATGTCTTTTATTTCTTTAAACCTTTGGAAGTTATGTTGATCATCATCATTTTGGAGAGGTTAGAAATGGAGGTCTATTTTTATCTATGCCTTTCTGCATGATAAAACTTTAAAAGAAATGTTAGGGATGTTGCTGAGTGATAGACTACTTATCTAGCGCTTGCCTAGTGTGTTCAAGATCCTGGGTTCAATCCTCAAGCACTACAAAACTACAGTTGGGTTGTAAATGACTAAAAGCTTTGCTGTATCATACAAGGGTAGTTCCTGCCTTCACTGCCTTAGAGAGCTTCTCTCTGTCTCAGGGCCACTCTACGTCATAGTTGAATATGCCTCGAAAGGCAACCTCCGGGAATACCTCCGAGCTCGGAGACCACCTGGCATGGAGTACTCCTACGACATTAATCGAGTTCCCGAGGAGCAGATGACCTTCAAGGACTTAGTGTCCTGCACCTACCAGCTGGCTAGAGGCATGGAATACTTGGCTTCCCAAAAAGTGAGTCCTTCCCATTCTGCTTGGTTGGATGCAAAGCCAGTTAAGTGTCTTTGAAGAAGCTGGGCAGCTCAGTTGTGTTCATTTGCTTGGTCAAGTCCTTGCATGTCTTGTACAACCTGGAAAATAGTGTTATTCATATTTCAGTCTAATGGACTCTTCTTGAAAGGCCAGAGCAGCCTCACAAACTCATAACAACTGTAGGAGCGTGGACTGTGTTCTGAGGCAGGGCAGGTGCGATGCTCCTGGGCTGATCGGGCTTCATTTGGAGTGAGCGTGGGGCATGGACTTGGGTGTTAGATTTAGAGTGATCATCTTGATGTGGAGTTAAATGATCTGAGAATGGAAGTTGAGCACAGGAGTGGTTTTGACATCGAGAGTCTGGGATTTCTGTTTATTTTGTCTCCTTCAGTTGAGTCTGTGGTCAGAAGTTGGCCAGGTCCCCTGAGATGAATGGTTGGCATTCCAAACAAGCCACTTACAATGGAACTCTAAGCATTCCAGTTATTCTGAAAGTTGTTAGGCAGGTGCTCAGAGTTTTCATGGGTATTTCCGAGGAGCCAGGGCACCCTTCCTCAATCCCTGCACGTAGAGGCAGGGCACAAGGGTGCTCTGTGGGCTTGACTCCTACCCAGAATGGAGCTTGCTGCAGTCCCATTGTCCTTAACTCCTCAGGTTGCCAAAGACAAAAAGCATCCCTTGTGTGTGTGTGTGGGGGGGGAGCTCCTCTGTTACTTGGAGCCTGGGCTACTTGAAGCATCATAAATCTGGATTCCCCCAGGGGGCTTGCTAGTGTCAAGAGTGAATGAGGTCACCTGTGTTGGATGGTGCAGGTGGCAGGCCCTCTAGGGATACATGTTCCTGAGCCCTTCTCTCCATCACCTGGGAACATGGCTTAGAGTTATCGCGTGCTCTCAGTTTTGCTTTGCCTTCTTTTATTATTATCTTCTATTCAGTTTCCTTCAGAGTTTGCAGCTTATGGAGCTTATAAGTTTTCTTTTTCTTTTCTCTTTTTTTGTTTGTTTTGTTTGCAACCATGAAACCTCCTGACATAGAGGTTTTAAGAAGCCAAATTTGGGTTTGCAGCTTATGGAGCTTATAAGTTTTCTTTTTCTTTTCTCTTTTTTTTGTTTGTTTTGTTTGCAACCATGAAACCTCCTAACATAGAGGTTTTAAGAAGCCAAATTTGGGCCGGGTGTTGGTGGCGCACGCCTTTAATCCCAGCACTCGGGAGGCAGAGGCAGGTGGATCTCTGTGAGTTCGAGGCCAGCCTGGTCTCCAGAGCGAGTGTCAGGGTAGGCTCTAAAGCTACACAGAGAAACCCTCCTAAAAAAGAAGCCAAATTTGAGCAGTTTTGAGTTCTGATTTGGTACATGTATATTCGCACATGGTGAGGAAGGGGGGTTGCCCCTGAGAAAATCTTTGGCATCAAGAAACAGACAGATCTAAAATATGGGACATTTGACAAGATAACATCTCAGAATATCTGTGTCATGCCAGTTTTAAAAATGCCGGGAGAGCTGGGATGTCAGTAGATGTCATGCTATTGCCTGGCATGTGTGAAGTCCTGGGTTCCATCTCCAGCATTGCATAAACCATGCATGGTGCTACACACCCGTGGTCCCGGCGCTCCGGAGGTGGAGGTGAGAGAATGGAAATTCAGGGTTATCTTCAGCGAAGTATCAGGTTTGAAGCTAGCCTGGATGGCATGAAATAGAGAGACAGAGAGAGACACACACAGAGGCAGAGACAGATAGATAGATTTGGTTAAAGAAGCTAAAGAGACAAAACAACTAGTAACAAGAGCTGTGACAATCCTAGACTGGCTCTCTGGTGTGGGACGTGAAGGTCAGATTTTACTGTTAAGTGGCTGATACTTGAACATGGGCCATATCTTAAATAACATTACTGTGTTCATCCGAGCTGAATTTGGACTTGGGTAACCATTGCATTGTGTTAAGATGGGGGATGCATAGTTGGGATATCTCTTACCCATCTTACCCTTTTATTTATTTATTTATTTATTTATTTATTTATTTATTTTTGTTTTGTTTTTTCAAGACAGAGTTTCTCTGTCTTTGGAGGCTTTGGAGGCTGTCCTGGAACTCACTCTGTAGACCAGGCTGGCTTCCAGCTCCCAGAGATCCACCTGCCTCTGCCTCCCAAGTGCTGGGATTGAAAGAGTGCATCACCACCATCTGGCTTTACCCAAATTCTTAAAAACACCAGAGTTAATGTTTTAGGGTGAGGTTTTGTAATGTTTATCTATACATAATGAGGCATGATCTAAATGAAACCCAAGTCTGTTAAAATCAACTGTTTTCTATGAACTATATTCACATAGCCAGAAGGTACCTTTACATAGTTTTTAATGACTTTGTACATAAAACAAATTTATAGTCCAAAATTTTCCACTCACGGCATCCTGTCAACACTGCAAATGTTTTGGATTTTTGGATTAGGAAATGTTGAGGAACCAAAATGTGAAGTGACTATGTTGCTTGCATCTTACTTCTAAAGCAATCAACAATAAAAACAAGCAGGTTGTATGTTTGCACACGAGTGTGTGTGCCTGTGTATTTGTACATGTGTGCATTTTTATGTGTATATATGTGTACACGTACATGGTGTACAGGTATATGTGTGTTTGTTTTTGGTGCGTATAGGCTACACATAGAGTGAGTGAATGAGCTTAATAAACCAATCTGGCAGATATGGACAATCATGGCACTATTTCATCTTGAAATGTCTGAACTATTTCACACGGAGGTCTGGGCCAGGCAGTCAGCCATAGGCAGCCTGTTAACTTCTCTAGGCTTGGTTGCTGCAGGGAGTCCTCCTTGGTGGGAGATGAGGGAAGTGTTTGTATGCAACAGGACTTACAGGGGATATAAAAGTAGTAGGAGAACTGTCTCTTCATTTTCTTCAGTCCTCCATATTCCCCAGATGACTGTTTTCTGGGTTGGGATGTCCAATGGGGTGGACAGAACAGGTGTCATCCTTGATTTCTTGAAGCAAGAGTTATGAGTAGCAGTAGGAAAAAAATGCCAGTAAATGTGAAATAAAAATAAGTAGATAACCAACTTGAAACAATAAATCCCTTACTCATCCAGGGCCATACAGTGCCAGGCAGGGACCCTGGGCTTGGCCCTTGCGGCTATGCAAAGGTGTCAAGGGTGAATATTAGGGTCCAGGTGTGTGCTTTACAGTTTGCCCTTGAGTGGCGCAGTGGAAACACTGAGTTCCTCTTTGGGCCAAATTTAATCAGGTCCTACGACACTGAAAGAAGTTGGTAGTTGGAATTTGGGCACATTCTACTGTCATGTAATAGGATTATTAGGTAAATGTTATCAAGACAGCTTCTGATATCCAACTTGAGAAACTAAATGGTGGTGTAGCTTCCCAAAGTAAGGAAGACCTGGGAGTCAGGATGCAGGGCAGGAAGTGATTTCAGTAGCAAATGCAGAGCTCATGTTGGAGAGCTGGTTAAGGGAAAGTGTCAGCCAGCAAGCCATAGACTGGAGCTCAGCCCTGAGGCCTGTACATACATCATTAGGAGGTCAAAGGTTGTGACTTCAATTAGGTAGGGAAACTGGGGGGAAGCAGAGATGAGAGAGGCTGAGAGGCCAGGATGTCACTCTTGGGTGCCACAAAAAGGGTTTCTGGACTGAAGCTGAGGCCAGCTGTGTATCCTTGCTCAGAGTCAGAAGAAGAGCATGCTGGTCCATGTGGTCACAGAACTGGTGCCAGTTCCTCACTCCCCCAGTGTTGTGGACCTGAGACTTCTCAGTTTGCAGTCGCTAGGTACAGTGGAGCAAAGGCTGTCACATGAGCTTTGCAAAGGAGGAATGACTATATTTGGGAGTTGCAGAAGCAATGGGGAATAGAATTGTCCTTACAAATAATATGGTGACCATTGTAGTTACTCTCATCACTAATTGCTAGACGCAGTTTAGCAAGCATCTGCCATCAAGCACATCGTGAGTACTTAAGACCATCCATCACAGGTAGTCTAGGATCCCTTTATGGAGGAGGGTGCCAGGGATACCTAGGGCTTGGTAGGATGCTTTGTACCACTGTCTTCTCTTCTGGGATGAGACCTGTATGTCCAGGAGCTAAAGGGGAAAGGATGGTTCCAGACCTGGGTCCCCTGGGCCTCTGCCAGCTACACTGACCTCGGGGTTTTCCTGACTCTCTATAGATCCAGGCAGATCAATAGAGTCTCTGCCCCAGGCTGTGCTTTAGTCACCCCAAGTGTCTGTCCCCATCACTTTGCAGAAGAGCCTGGGTTAAATGCTTGTATGCATTTTTCTGGTTTGTTGTATTGTCCTAACACCTCTAGCTCCTGCCCATCCACAGTGAAGGCTCTGAAGAGGTATGCATGGGGTGCTGGATGAAGATCTTAAGAATGCTTCCCTTAGGAGGCACCGCTTCTAGAAAGGAAGAGCAAATTCTAGACGTGAACAATGAGGAAGTGGGGTAGCGGTGGGTTTTAGAGACAGTTTGTAGAAAGAGACAAAGAACTGCTGGTGTCCCAGAACTCTGACAGCAACCCAGAGAACAGTTTCCAGAACAGACCGTATGCCCAGCTCTGAGTCTCTTCAGATGAGGCACTGAGCCTGACCTCCAGCAGTGTCATATTTGTGTGAAGAGGAGGTGGAGTCAGACAAGGAAAGAGACTTTGTGGCAAATCCAGTAAACTAGATAGCAATGGGAGTATTTTTATTTTAAAGTATTTATAAAAATCCTTGCTATTTCTAGTTCAGGGATACTAATTTTATTCAAAAGCAAGTTCCACATCCCCACCTATGACACCCATCTCATAGGTCACCATGGAAATTAGATAAGATGACATGTGACCCAGCACTCTGTCTTCATCACAGGCTTATTGGATTTCCTTCCTTAAGATCCTGTTTGGAAACTTCCCTAGGGCCTTCATTCTGTAGACAGTAGGTACTCTAGGCTGGAGAGCAACCCAGACCTCTGTGTGTGGTGGGATTGGCTTGCCTTTAGCTATTTTCTTGAGCACTGGTTCCTAGTCTTCTATTTATTCCTTGGTGTTTCCTAGCACTCTGGGATCTAGAGTGAGCAATATGGTAGTAGTAGCCTATGGCAGCCTCTCTGTCCCAGTTGAGCCTCAATGTGTGGTCGAAGCCCCCTGCAGGGGAAGCCAGATTCTTCTGACCACTCAGCTTGCCAAACACAGAGAACACATGTCAGCAGGAGCACACAGCACCAGGAGAACTTGGCCAGAGCCTTGGAAGTTGAATTTGAAGAGGCCTCCAAACTGGCAACGCACTCCAGCCCAGGCAGAGTTGCAGGCAGCCCCGGGAGCTCTCACATTTCCCACTCCTACTCTGGCCGGGGACATGCAGACTTGGGTGGCTTGCCTGCTTCCTCATCTCTGATCTTGGCCCACCCACACATGCAAGTGAACACAGGGGATGCTTGGGCGTGGGTGAGGGCAGAGTTAAAATAATTCCTTATTCATGTTTCAGAGAAGTTAGGCTTGTTCCATTTTTATGTGGTCATTTCATAGAGAGCTAACAATAGGTCATTCTCAGTTCGCCCATCCAGTACACCAAGTCTGTCTGCTTCATGTGATCGTTAACCTTGATTTGTGACCTGTATAAAGACATTTGAGGGTAATGCTTAATTCTTTGTACCACACCTCTTCTAAAAATAGAAGTGAGTGATCAGGGGTCCTATTTACCATGTATCTTAATGAAACCATAGACTGTTAAAGTACAGCTGAAACACAATAGCTTTGGAAGGTCTGGCCTTTGTAAATCATAATGACCAGACCTTCCTGAGACTGTGGTTCGTGTTGGGGCAGTGCAACCTCCCATCAGATGTATCATAACAAGCATAAAAGTGCCAGGTCCTGATGTATGTGCAGACACAGTTTAGTCCCTGCACAGGCTGGGCATTGTAACGGACTGCACTGAGAATGTGAATGGATGGACAGCGAGCCAGGAAAGGACATGCTAGGCTGTGTCTGAAGCACATAGTGTGTGCGTATTCGGTATAAAAGGGGAAACCAGAAAGCCTTTGAACAGTAAGTGTAGCAGTCCACCGAGGAAGGTCAGTGACCACAGCCTTGCCTAAGAGGTGAGCAGTGGAGGACAGACATTGAGGATATCTTGGAGCTGGAATGATCAGGACTTGAGTGTAGAATGTGAACCTACAGGACAGGAGTCAAGGGAATAGAAACATTGACTTTGAGATGTCAAGAGGGCATTACTGTCTGTGGAAATGTCCCGGAATGACTTGACAATGAGTCCTCCAGTCTCAGCAGAGGCCAGGATGGAGATGGGGTTGCAACTGCTTTATGTATCTAAGAATTGATGCCACACAGATAGAAGAAACACACAAACGACGTGTAGCAGTTTCTTTGCTTTGAGGGACAGGGGAAGAAGAGAGGCAGTTCAAGAGTCTGTGAGAGATTGAAGCAAGAGAAAGAAGATGGGGGAGGCTGCAGTAAAGGCACTGTTTCTAGAAACACATCTACAGTGTCCAGCTGCAGAGAGGGGAAAAAGGGTGCATTAGAAGAGGCCAGTTGGGTCTAACAGTGAGGAGGGTCCTCATACAGCCTAGAGACAAGAGTGGAAAAGAAGACAGAAATAGACGTTGCTGAGACCAATGTTTGTAGGACATGAAGTCACATTGTCAGAGAAGTGACAATGAGATGAAGAAGACAGAGTTTAACCCAGTCATCTGAAAGTTGGGCTTTAGCGGACTGGAGAAAGCAAGTGTTGAACTCAAAGATTTTCGAATGCTATCTAATGTCGAGTTTGTGTGAAGTTGCAAGAGACACACTGGTGGTGTGGGGCACTTGCAAATAAAAGAGGATGCATTTGTGTAATCAACCTTTACTTTCTAACATGACTAGGGCCTTTGAGAGACACACTGGTGGTGTGGGGCACTTGCAAATAAAAGAGGATGCATTTATGTAATCAACCTTTACTTTCTAACATGACTAGGGCCTTTGTTTATTTAAATTAGAATGAGTGATTGTCATGTCTTGTTTGGGGCTCTTGAGAATGCTAGTCAGCCTGTTGACTTTAGAGCCCAGTATGGCTCTTGCAGTTTTCTGCGCCCAGTTTTTTGTTTTTTGTTTTTTGTTTTTGTTTTTTTTTTTTTTAACTTGAGGTGTGTTTTCTGTCTTGCATTTTTATTTTAAGAGTCTGTTTTTCTTTTGATTCTTAAAAACACATTGGTATTATTTCTCTCCCTTCTTTCTCGATTGCAGTGTATCCATCGAGATTTGGCAGCCAGAAATGTGTTGGTAACAGAAAACAATGTAATGAAGATAGCAGACTTTGGCCTGGCCAGAGATATCAACAACATAGACTATTACAAAAAAACCACAAACGTGAGTATGTGATGTCACACTGGGGAGCGGGGTAGGGAAGTTTACAGAATGACACAAGTTTATCAGTGGGAGAACTGTGGGGGCTTCTCTCCACACTACATTCTGTTGTTTTTGCTTAACTCTCGATCAGCCAATTCAGGGTACATCTGAGGTAGGCTTAAGCACTCTTTTATACAGAATAACAATCAATAGCCTCCAAATCTTTGTGTGGCCCTCTTAAGGACCTTCATAATTGGGATGGCGAGATGGCTCAGCTCTTAAAGCAAGGACTAGAGCTTGGAAGTTTGCTGGGTTCAGTTTTGCTCAGAGGCTGACCAGGGTATACCCGTGTGCTAGGGAGACAGATGATAATGAGAATACAAAGAAAGGGTACTTGGGCACTCTGCATCTCAGCCATTTTGTATGGAGCTTGGGGCTTATTTCTGCCCTTAGTGGTAAACTGATGAAACTCATTAGAGAGCCATCTCTTCACTCAGAGAAGTGAAGATGAATACCTGGTAGTGGTGTGTGAGGGAGCATGGGATCGGTAGCATGGGATCCCTGCCACTGGGTGCTAGATGGGTGCTCAGGTTTGGAGCCCAGATTCAAGACAGACTACACTAGGGAAATGAGGAAGAGATGGGAACCTAAATCTACTTTTCAGATTCAGACCTGGTTCTTAGAACCAGCCAACAAGTCCTGACTTGCTCTGGGACCTTGGATTTTTGTTTGTTATTTGTTGGTTTGTTGGTTTGTTTGGATATATATATATATATATATATATATATATATATATATATATCCTGTGAGTGTCACCACAGTAACTTCTCTACATTCCAGCAAGTCCACAGACTTGTCTCCTAAGCTCAGGAAGGCCCTACAGGACCTGACCAACTGATGTAGTTATTAAGTCCTTTATTTTAAATTTTGACAGTATTAGGAAGCCAGGTGAGGCAGGAGGACTGCCAAGAGTTTGAGCCTCTCATGGGTTAATTGTAAGTTGTGGGCTTGTCTGGGCTACAAAAATGAGACAGTTTTCTTAAATAGGACACGGCCATGTTGGGCCTTCTGCGCTACTCTTGTAAAACCTAGGGGTTTCTATATTTTCTTATAGGGGCGACTTCCAGTCAAGTGGATGGCTCCCGAAGCTCTTTTTGATAGAGTTTACACTCATCAGAGTGATGTGTAAGTAACCTCTGTCCTTGGCTCCTATATGGATTGAGTTGCAGAAATACTTAGCTTCCACATGTTTGTAGCAGGCATAGGAATCAGGGATCTCAGATGGCATGAGTTGATGGTAGATTGGTACCCAGTGCTTAGTTACTGATCTGCCTGCCTTTGGGAGGTGGGGACACCCTCCTCCTGCTGCCACAGTGGAAGCACTGTGCCCCATCACGGATGGCAGATGCTCACTCACCACACTCTGTCTCATTTGTCAAGTGGGTGGCATGCTCTCCACTCTTAGCTGGGCCAGGAAGTGCATGTGTTCATCCTAGCATTGGGAAGGATCAGAAGTTCAAGACTAGCCTAGACTATGTGTAGCAAGTTCAAGGCAAGCCAGGGACATGTAGTGTGGGTGTGTGAACCTATCTTTATAAAAATGAGAAAAGAGAGAAGACCCTAAAGCTCTTCCTGGTTAGAGGACTATGATTCTTCCCTGACCCAGACTTGTCCTTAGTGCTAAATGAGGCATGGTCAGTTTGGATCATCACCACATCTGCTCACTGTGCTTATTATAAATTTTTAAGTCTTGTCTTAGTCTCTGATAACATTCTAGAAATACAGTAGAAATTACATAGTATTTCTCTGATGACTCACTTAAACTACTGTTGGAGCCAGGTTCCAACTGATAATGTAGATAGGGGAATTTAGCTGAAAGATGTTATTGGGAGAAACTGGGTAATAGATGCCCCCCCTTGGGAATTTAGCTGAAAGATGTTATTGGGAGAAACTGGGTAATAGATGCCCAGTAAGTTTCTATGGCTCTGTAATTACTCCAAAGGACAAAGGCTTTGTATTCTTTTGTTTTTAATTTGGAAGGTTTTCTTTCTTTCATTTTTTACTCTTAGTTTCTGATGTGGGTATTGATTCTACACCAGCATGCTTGGTTCTGTCAGCCTTCCCAAAAGGAAGGAGTCACAGTTTTTATTGGTAGATGAATGCACTGAGGCTCTGAACTGTTTTTTGGCTCCCCCCCCCCTATATTGTGGCCCCAGCTTATGCTTGGTAGAAAACCAGGAGCAGTCTTGGTGTTGAAATTGACCTCCTAGAGTCAGGATGCATGAGTTTCAGGAACTGCAGGACACAAATAACCTGCGATGCTCTGCTTGCTTGTCTCCCAGCCTTGAGTCCACCAGAGTAGGTTGGGTAGATCCAAATGTGGTTATATGAGAATAAACAGCACCCCGTGAGGTCTTCTCACTTTCTGTTGGATGAGCCTCTTATTCTGGGTCATGAAATTCATCCATGCTAAGCCCAGCCCTTCACATCACACTAAGTCACAGACTCTTTGCCCTGCTGGGGTTGCACCAGCCATCTAGGGCAGGCTTCCTCTGACAGAGTCAGCTTTCTGGCTTTATGCTGTCATCTATAGATCCAGGTTCTTGTGTCAGCCACAAAGGGAGGTGGGTGATTTAGACAGAAGAAGCCTGAAGTCGAGGAGTCTAGACCTCCCACATTCGTTAGCACCACATAAAAGACAAAGAGCTTTAAGAGACATTGGTGCAGCTCTTTGTCAATTAATGGAAAATTCCATCAGACCATACTCATGCTGTCCTCATTTAGGGAGGCTCCTGGGGGGTCAGGAAAGGGCATGTAGGATGGATTGCGGGAGGGCTCATTTATCTATGGATGTTAGAAGCGAGTGGGTGTTTATTTTTTTTAACTGACATGTTTAGGTTTCTGCGATCCGAGCACATTACTAATGCTGTGTTTTTTCTTTGCAGCTGGTCCTTTGGGGTGTTAATGTGGGAGATCTTCACTTTAGGGGGCTCACCCTACCCCGGGATTCCCGTGGAAGAACTTTTTAAGCTGCTCAAGGAGGGACACAGGATGGACAAGCCTGCCAACTGCACCAATGAGCTGTAAGGGCTGCGGCCGCCCCTGCTGACAAAGTAGTAGGCTCACCACATCTGTCCTGTTTCTCCAGACATGTCTTGGGTTTCTCAGGGCCCCATTTTCTAAACATGCTCTAAGAAGTGTCCCGGAGGCTGCCTGGGCTCAATCCCAGCACTGAGATAGACAACTATGGCTTGTCCAAAAGAAAGAACAACCCTGCCAAAGTGTATGGCGTGGGCATTTAATCTAGATATCCCTGGGAAGGAGTGTGCTGTGCCACACAGTGACATGAACAGTCGTAGGTCAGATACCAAGCAAGAATGTCACGGGGCTGCCCCTATTGAATGTACAAGGTTGTTCACAGCACCAATAATGCCAAGTAGGAAATGCAGTTTTTCCAAAGCACCTTTCCAAATCATTGATAATTGCCATGACAACTAGGCATGATGGCTAGAGGCTGGAGCACTCCAGAGGCTGGAGAAGGGGGTTTTGCACAAGGTTGAGGCCAGCCTTGGCTGCAGAATCAGACCCTTTCTAGATAAAATAAAATGAAAATAAGTTAACTTTTTTAAAAAGTGATGGGGACCTGAAGTTAGTCATTTGGTAAAGTGCAAGAATGAGGACCAGAGTTCATTCCCAACACCCACATAAAAATCTGGGCACAGTGGTGTGTGCACTTGTAATCCTGTAGACTGCAGAGGTGGCGGGAGACAGGAAGATCCTAGGGACTTGCTAGCCAGCCAGCCTACCCTCAGACATCAACCCTCAGGGCTCAGTGAGAGACCCTGTCTCAAAGAATAAAGTGGATGGTTTCTGAGGAACAATACCCAGGTTGTCCTCTGACCTCCAAGTGTGTGTGCGCACATGCACACACAAATAGAGAAGAAAAGAAAATTGCTATTACATTAACCACACCCACTCAGACTGAGTGGACTAGTGTGTTTGGATACCCATATTTTAAAGCAGAGAACACAAAGTTTATCCTGGTGCCATCGTTAGGGTATACCATTTCTGCTTATGAAAGTGTGAGCTGGTTTCTAGGAATGCTTTCTTTCCACTGTAAGTGAAATTGTGTTGTGTTAATGACGCGTGCCTTGTGCAGTGAGGTTCTGCCCCTCCTCTGGGGCAAACTAAGAACGCGATTGTCCCAGAGACTGCTGTCTATTATGTGCTCCTTTATGGGGATTTCAGAGCAGTAATCCCAACCAGCACTTTCTGGTGTACAGTGGAGGGCTGATGAATGGCCACTTTTTATACCGTATTATATAAAGGAATTTATTGTGTGCCTTGTCTTCCTGTTGCTTTTTCTAACATAGAGGGTCTCTCGAAACTCATAATCATGATAAGGCGGGAAGCTTGGACTATCCAAGAGTTAATCAGGAAGTTAGCAAAAAATAAAGTGAAGTGTAGTTCAGGCAGGAGTGTTTGGAGGGGAGAAAAGAGACAGCAAATGCGTCTCCTTCCATTCTCTGGAGATGGCTGGAAAGTGCCACAACATCAAGATAGGTTACACTATCACAGAAGTAGTAGCAAAACACATAAAAGTCCATATTTAGATAAAGAGTCAACCTCTTAAAGCATTCTGGGTTGCAGAAAAGTTTCTCTAATGTTAGTGCTTGTGTAGGTAGTTATATTTCATTATTTAGGCTAAGTCTCCATGCCACCTGTTAAAACCATCCACATCTGTATATCAAGTTGCTTAATGACATCAATTCACCAGAGAAACCCTTTTTCCTAGGTATATGATGATGAGGGACTGTTGGCATGCTGTGCCCTCACAGAGACCCACATTCAAGCAGTTGGTGGAAGACTTGGATCGGATTCTAACTCTCACAACCAATGAGGTAAATAAAAGCTTCCTTCCAGAAGTCTGGAAACCCTGCTTACCTCAGGAGATGCCTGTTTGTTAAATGCAAACTCCCCTGTTGGAGTTGGTGGTGGCTTTTATTGTTTTTGTGCAGGGGTCAGGCTGAGTTAAACTGTATGTTCCTTTCCTTTTTTTTTTTCTGTTTCTCAGAACTGAATTTTGAGAATTCTGACTCATGAGGCTGGAGGCTCATGCCCTCCTGAGTTGCCCTCATGGCGACTGTTGTTGTTGCGGCCAAGTGTGTGTGTGTGTGTGTGTGTGTGTGTGTGTGTGTGTGTAGAGGAAGAGGTGGAAATGTTTTGTGGTAGTATGTTGGTGTGCCTGGGAAGGCACTAGCATATAGCATGAGCCCCGGATTCCGTGCCCTGTGCTCAGGGGCTGACCAACTTGATGAAAGGCAATGCGATTCTATTGTTTCCATGTGGTACTACTGCCCAGTGTGAGCCTGTCTAGAAAAGCTTGTGGCTTGGATCTCTTTGGGTGACATGCGTGTCACACATATCATGTATGAGCTACATTACATTATTCTGCTATGAGTGACTTACAGTATTTTTAAGTTGACAGTTGGTACCTGTAGTTAAAATATTTATTCCAGGGATGGAGTTATGGGGGGGGGTGTTTAGCTAGTTGTCAGTGTGATCCACACACAATCGTGGCACTCACACCGAAAGCCTGGTGTGATGGTGTTTTCTTGTAATTCCAGCACTGGGGAGGCAGATGGCCAGTTAATCTAACCTCATGGGCAAACTTCAAGTTCCAAGGAGAGATCCTAACTCATAAAACAAGGCCTCCACATGCATGCCCACCCACACACATGCGAATACACACAGAAGTTTTCAGTTTTTATATTTACAATTTATGCCAACCAATGATACCATTTTCTGTTACTCTTTGTCTAAATACAGCCATGATTCTAAACTGAATGACCTTTAGTGTTTTAGAAAGAATATTCTATGAGCAGAAAAACTGATCAACCCACACAGTCCAGGGAAACCCCCTGCCAGAAATTATAAATGAATTTTGAGATATTCCCTGAATGTGCCAAGCAATATTCCCTCATGAAAAAAAAGGAAGGTGATGTAGTTGTTTTCACAACAATTAAAAAAAAAGTTTTAAAGTCTCCCAAAAATCTTAAAAGGAAAAGAATACAGTTAGTTTCTGATTCAAAAAATAGAATAATTGTAATGATTGTGTTTCAAATTTAAATTTTAAAAATAGAATGATTTAAAAAAAAGAGTTGAATATAGAGATATAAAGCCTTAATGTGGCAACTTTATCCTGCGCTGTTAGTTGTGGCTTGTGCTGGACGAAGGAGGAACTTGCATGTAAATGAACACAGCTGACCTTCAGAAGTTAAAAGGAAAGGAGTAGTTCAAGGAGGGGGAGGGGGAAAAAGCCAACTTTCTTCTCCTGCCAAAATTGTTGTTTCTAGCCCCAGTTCCTTTAACCTTAGGCTTGGAATCTAGTGATACTCTTTTTTCTACCCTCCAATCAGATTTGAAAGTTACAGCTTCATTTAGAAACTGGGAAGGGCACTAAGGTTTTCATTTAATGATCCCGGGCCCAGACTCAGTGTTACGTATTGATATATTTATGTTTAAAGGGGGACCCATTTCTACTGAACTTTATATGCGTACCCTAAAATAAGAGAGTAGAATGCCATATTGTCTAACGGATATAAAAAATCGAAGTTTCTTTCCTTCTTAAAATCATTACCACATGCTCAAGAAAAATGGTTCCATTTAGGACAAAATTTCATTTTTATCATTGTAAGCAAAAAGTCCTCTTTTGATGTGGTGGGTGTGTTTGTTTCTGGTTGTGTGGTTAATGCTGATGTTGTTGGAGCCGACACAACCCCCTTCTTGGTTGGCAACTCTTTCTCTTGCCAACCCTGGTGATGAATTATAGTGGTTTTTGTCTTTTAAACCGTATGGTCGCCAACATTCCATGGACTCTCTGCTGATAACGCTGGGGCTGTTTATGCTGTAGTTTGCGCTTTTTGCCCCCTCTCAGCAGAACCACATGTCACAGAGGAGTTGCTGGCTTCTGGGTATGTAAGCAAAGCCACCCTATTGTGCCAGTGCTGTTAGGCAGTGAGAAAAGAAAGGCCCCTGTTTAGAAATCTTTTCAGGGCTGGGGACACAACTCGGTTGATACGCGTGTTTGCTTAATGTGCACAGAGCCCTGGGCTTCATCCCCCAATACTACATAAACATAGTATGATTGTGCACACTTGTGATCCCAGCACTTGGGGAGGTAGATACAGGAGGATTAGATGGTCAAGGGCATCTTCAGCCACATAGCAGGCTGGTGGCCAGCTTGGAATACTTGAGACTCTGTCTCAAAACAGAGAGAGGAAGGAAGGAAGGGACACACACACACACACATACACACAGACAGCAACAGAGACACACTGAAAGTCAGAGAGAGACACATTGAGAAACAGACGCAGAGAAATCTTTTCCTATTTTCCGACCAGGGTTGGCCAGTACTCCCTGTAAGGGCCAGAGAGTAAACATTTTCAGCTTTGAGGCCATATGGTCTCCATCGAAACTCTGCCATCCTAGCATGAAAAGCAGCCCCAACTCTATGTAAATAAATGAGTGCCTGCCTTCCACTACAACTTTATGGACTCTGAAATTGGGAGATTTATATGATTTCATGTGACTTTATATCATTTCATGTCATTGGTTGCCATAAGATATGATGCTTATTTAATTTTCCTACTACCCATGGACAAACGTGGAAAAGCAGTCTTAGTTCATGGGGCAGTCAGAAACATACAAAGGCTCTCACCCTGCCCAGAGCTGGAGGAAGAGTAGTTCTGAGGGATCCAGAGGCATCATCCAGGGATGCTTGGGTAGCAGAGAAAACTACAAACTCAGTGATTTCAAGACTGAAACCTCCTGTTCCTAGACTTTCCTTTAGCAGCCCATTATGTATTTAACATTCATGAGGGTATCCAAGCCTTCCCCCAACCTGTTTACGTTGTTAACTCTGAGAGCTTCTGAGAGTAATGAATTACATCTGTTAAATTATGCAACGAATGGAGACGCCTTTCCCTTAAAATGGTCCTAGAAACGACAACTGTAGAACATGATTCGGAAAATACATATTCATGGCTTGGCTATTTAAAGGAGTCCTGTTGTGCTTCTACTTCACTGGGCCTTAAACTCCAACCAGGAGCTATCATGAGGGTTATTGTAGGTCACCTTGGTCCTGTGGGCAGGGCTGACTGACTGCCCATCACCAGCAGTCCACTGTGTTTTTATCATGTACCACTTGCTGATGGTTTATTGATGGCATGTTGTTAAGAGAAGAGTTTGGGGCAGCCTGGAGTGAATGGAGTTGAGGTCTACGGGAAGTCTTTGTGCAGTGGGCTGGGGTGAGCTGGGCCTCTGTAATCCTCCCGGGGGAGGGGGGGTTCCCTGTCCTTTCTCAAGTCTGATGGAGATGTCTCAGAGGCTTCTGTTTGAAATGAGATTCTTCTCTTCCCTTCTTGCAGGAATACTTGGACCTCACTCAGCCTCTCGAACCGTATTCACCTTGTTATCCTGATCCAAGATGAAATAAAACGTCTCTCTTCCCTTCTTGCAGGAATACTTGGACCTCACTCAGCCTCTCGAACAGTATTCTCCTAGTTACCCCGACACAAGGAGCTCTTGTTCTTCAGGGGACGATTCTGTGTTCTCTCCAGACCCCATGCCTTATGAACCCTGCCTGCCTCAGTATCCACACATAAATGGCAGTGTTAAAACATGAGCGAACATGTCTTCCTGTCCCCACATGGGACAGCACCAGGAACCTACTTACACTGAGCAAAGAGGCTGTGCCTCCAGAGCGTGTGGCACACCTCCAGTTGTATATATGGATCAGAGGAGTAAATAATGGGAAGCATATTTGGCACATGTGTAAAGATTTATACAGTTGGAATCATGTCACCTTCCCAGGACAGGGAGAATGTTTCCTGATAAGTGGACAGCCGAAAGCCATCACACCACCCTCTCTGACCCACTGTGTGTACTGGATCGTGCCCCAGTTGGACTCAAGGCAGACATGTGTTCTGCCTTCCTTGTTAATTTTGTAATAATTGGAGAAAATATATGTCAGCACACACTTACAGAGCACAAATGCAGTATATAGGTGCTGGATGTATGTAAATATATTCAAATTATGTATAAATATATATTATATATTTACAAGGAATTATTTTTTGTATTGATTTTAAATGGATGTCCTGATGCACCTAGAAAATTGGTCTCTCTTTTTTTTAAATAGATATTTGCTAAATGCTGTTCTTAGAATTTCTTAATTTTCACCCAGCAGAGGTGGGAAAAATACTTTTGCTTTCAGGGAAAATGGTGTCACATTAATTTATTAACCAATTGGTAATATACGAAACGATTAATCATTTATAGTATTTTTTTTTTGTAATTTAAGTGGCATTTCTATGCAGGCAGCACAGAGGACTAGTTAATCTATGCTTGGACTTAACTGGTTATTGGATCCTTTGAGAAGAGAAATATTTACGATAGATGACTAATTTGGGGGGAAATGATGTGTTTGATTTGTCTGTGTTTCAATGCTGCTGTCCGATGACTATGTTTAGACACCTCAATGCCCACTTACAAGAAACCTGTTAAGCTCTGTCACCCCAGTGTAACGTTTAACCACGCTTCCAAGACAAATGGTACCAGCGCCCTCATCCCAAGATGCCTTAATCCATGTCTGGGGACAGACTTCCATTGGAATGCTAGCAGGGTGGGTTCTGTCTGGCAGCTGGCCTTCTGCCTGAGTTACACATCCATCACATTGGCCTCACATCTCCTCCGTGAGTTTTAATAACAGCTTCAGGACCTTCATCATCAGAACACCCTTTGGGGACTCTGTTCTCTCAGAATATCAAAAGCCCAGTGTTACTCCAATGAGAGTTTGGGAGCTCCTTCTGTCTTCTTAAGGGTTTGCTTCTGGCTTCTGCCTTCGTCTGACAAGACCTCACCCAAAGATCTGGCCTCATAGCTACATCTGACAAGATAACGGTTCTTGTTGATCTCCATATTCAAGTAGTGTGTTTTGCTTTGGACACACCCACTCACTTTGCTACAGTCATGCGACCTGAATGCAGATTACACTGATTTTATGTGTTTTGAAATTGGAGAAAGTATTTAATAAAACCTGTTAATTTTTATACTGACAATAAAAATGTTTCTACAGATATTAATGTTAACAAAACAAAATAAATGTCACGCAGCTTATTTTTTTAATACCTGTGTCTTACCCAATGGTTTCCTGTGCTCAGAGGTATTGACAGAGGGTTTGGTGGCGTGGATGTACAAAAGGCAAATCGGGAAGGCCACATTGTGGTGACTTACCAGGGTTGCCTGGGAACAGCAGTGCCTGGGACAGACTGGTTGATCAGTTGGAAATCAGAAGGTTGGTTCAACCTGGCTGGGTTACTTACTGACACTCATCAGAGAGAAACATTGTTCCTTCCTGGGTCCTTTATACTTCCCAGAAAAGTGACATGGGAGAGGTTGTAAAGGAGACTTAAGGATGAGGAAGTATCAATGACAAGATTCTTAGATTGTCTGGGTCCTGAGACCTGCAGCCTTCTATGCTGCCCTCCTTATGGAGCATGGAGAGACAGTTTACTTCCTGCCACTGAAACTGAAGAGAGTGTTTTGCTTGTCTGTGCATGGGGATCTGGGACCTAGAAGGCTCCATTATAGTTGCTTAGGAGCAGCTTCTTCGTGGGAATTGCAGTTATGTGGGGTTGAGGGTCACCAAACAGTGCTGCCCTGCTGTCCCTGTTGTGCTTGGGTCATGGGTGAAGCCAGGGTTTCACTAGACACCAGGAGGGTGGCATCTGGTCTTGGTCTGTGCTTTGGTTTCTTATTAGTAGACCCCACCAAAAGAATGTGAGAAAAAAAATAAAGCATATGGGTGGTGGGGCTGTAGCTCAGGGGCAGGGTGCTTGCTTTACAAGCTTTAGGCACTGGGTTTCATCTCTAGCAGAGCATTGAGAAAGTAAGAATGTGAAAACAGTCACCTGAGTGCAGGGTGGTTATGCTGCTGGCTGGCCATCCCATCCTTTGGATGATCTTGGCCTGGGACAGAATGGACCTGCTGCCCTTACTGGTGTGTTCAAACCCAGGCTCAGGATATAATGTTCATTCCTCTGTGTACATCAGCCTTACACATCTCATAAGACACTGTGACTTCGACCATGCAGATTAAAGTGAAAGAACTGCCATACTTGTCTGTTTTAGGGAGCTGGGTCAGCAGGAATCCTAAAGCAGTTATTGGCGACTTTAGTTTTAGAATTGTTTTTTGAGAGAGACATTTGTTATGGAGGGAAAGAAAAGAGAAAATCCCTGAAAAAGATAGGAAATATAATTTTTTTTAAAACCCACCCTAAAGAAATATACACAGAACTTGATGAGAATTCTGGAGTTCTGGGCCACCTCCCTGCCTCCCCCAACACACACACACACACACACACACACACACACACACACACATACCCTGCCCCTACCCCACCCCAGACCGAAAGAAAGCTTTGGGAAGAAGATGCTTGTCAATGAGCCGGGAAATCAGTTCATCTGTGAAGAACCAAAAGATGCTAGGTGTTGTGGGTGTGCCATGGGCCCTGTTTCCAGGTCAGAGGGGCACATTCAGAATTCTGCCTCCAAGTCCAGCTAACTGTGGCCTATAATAGGAGGGGAAAGATAGACAGTCGGGCTACAAAGGCAACCCTTTGGGAGAGTTCTGTGCATTCCTTGGGCACAAAGGGGTGCCTCATCCACTGCTCAGCCTCTTCCCCTGGGAACTTCTCACCACCTGATGTTGGGGGATCTTCTTGACCCTCCCACTCAGGAAATGAAAATAAGTTCACAGTATCAAATGTATGCACAGCTATGGTTCAAGGACCCAACTCCCATCTGAGAACAGCAGTTTGAGCTGTCAGCTTGTCCTGGCTAATGAAAGCTTCTAGGATGTTCCAGAGGGTACTTAGCTAGTGCAGATAAGAACTTGAAACTGAACTGCAGGTTTCTAAGAATCACTCAAATGGGAAATAGCCTAAACAGCTAAGACGGGGGCCTGCCTGGTGCCATAGAAAGACCTGGCAGGCAAGATGGGTTTGAATCGATTGACATGTTTTGTACAGCTTGGTAGTGCTGGCCATATCCCAGGTTCTATTTGGATATTCACCATAGGTCTTACCATAAGGATTACTGTAGAGGTTTAACTCTGGCAGACGGTCCCCCTCTTAATGGAAATTCTTTATATATGATAGTGGTTTTGTAAAGTATATTCACAATGTCATGCGACCATCATTACCATCTAATACCAGATGTCTTCAAGTTTCATTCCCAAGTTTCCAGAAAGAAACTCACTACCCATGAGCAGTCTCTCCCCAACTCTCTTCCAAGCAATTCTCATCTGCTCTTTTGACAAGACAATTCACATACATTGGGTCCTATATAGTAGGTGGTTTTCTGTGTCTGTTTTCATTCATTTAACATAAGGTTCATCCATACTGTAGTATGTATCACTGTGCCATCTTTATTTGCAAATTATATTCTGTTGTGTGGGTATATTGTATTATTTGTTCATCTACCAATGGACCTTATGAATAGGTCCATCTATAGGGTTTTTTGGGTATGGAAATTTGAATGTAACTGGCCCCCATATTCTCCTAGGGAGTAGCACTATTAGGAGTTGTGGCTTTGTTGGAGTGGGTATGGTCTTGTTGGACAAGTATGTCACTTTGGGGGTGGGCTTTGAGATTTCCTATGTTCAGGATGCCATCCAGTGTCTCAGTTGACTTCCTGTAGCCTGCAAGATATAGGGCTCTCAGCTATCCCTCTAGCACCATGTCTGCCTGCATGTCCCCATGCTTCTCACCATGATGATAATGGACTGAACCTCTGAACTGTAAGCCAGTCCCAATTAAATGTTTTACTTTATAAGAATTGTCATGGTCATGGTGTCTCTTCACAACAATTGAAACCCTAACTACAACAGTGGGTCTTATGCTTTTACTTCTTTTAGGTATATGCTTAAGAGTAGAATTGCTGGGTCACAGAATAACTCAGTGTCTAAACTTTTGAGGAATTATCATCTCATTTTCTAAGCAGTTATCCTGTTTTGTATTCCCATTAACAATATCCCAGTTTCTCCACATCCTTGCTAACACTTACTGTTGTCTGTGTTTTTATTGTCACATACTCACAGGTATGAAGTGTCTTCCCTATAGACTTCATAGCTGAGAAGGTGGGTACTATTCAGATCATGAGTCAAAGGCATATACTGCCTTACTGGGCTTTTCAGAAAAAGGCACTGCCTTATAAATGAATTGGCCTGCCTTCCACACTTACAAAGTAGTGTCAATAATTGGGAGGTTTTTATGGGTCCTCATGGAATGGAAAGGCTAACTGTTGCTGATTTTGTCCTGAATGTAGCAGCCATTACCCCCAGAGACACTCAACTTGAGTTTCCAGCTCCTATATCCCTCCCACCTGTACTTCTCTCCCAGCTATAGGTAGTTCTGTTCCAGATACACATGGTCTTGGGAGATGCTGGAGCTTATACAAGGCTAACTGAAGGGGATACTCTATGCAGACTCGGGGAAGTCATTATCCATGCTGGGTGACTTCAGTGATGTAGCTCTTTGAGGGTCACCCACACTCCTGTAAGTAACCCTTCACCCATGCTCCTGTAAGTTAGCCTAGTAGCTTGTGGTTAACCAAGCTGGACTTGGTGGTCTGTTGTTGGTGCCCTTTTTGGGATGAATGGACATTTGATTATGTCTTCCCAGCCAAAGTCACACAACACTGAGAGGTCAAGTAATTCCATCCTTCCCCTCCTGGTTGAGAGATGAAGGAAGAAGTCTGCACTTGATGATGGGTGGAGAATTTCTGGCTCATCTCTACTGTGAATCTCCAGTTTTCTTCCAAATACAGCCTGGCAACCTTGAGAAGCCTGTGGGGACTGATAAATGTGCCATTGCTTATGCATGAACACTGGAGTCCTCCAACCCGTGTTTTCATGTTATTTATTTATTTGCTCATTTATTGGTGTTTTTAAGAGATGAAAGCAGAGATTATCTCCTCTTACATTTCATCCTAGGAAGCCTTCAAGGGAATTGGCAGTCTGTTCTGGGCAGGGAGGGACAAAAGAAGCCTTACACCTCTTACATGATATTCTGAATAGGGCCCCTTTGGCTCCCAGTTTCCTGGTGCTTTGGGGGAAGTTTTGAATGGGAGCCTCAAAATTGCTTTGCAGTTTTGATTCAGGAGTCATGAGATAGACAGTGTCAAACATTTCCAAAATGGAGCCCCAGGCCCTGGAGTAGTTCAGAGATAAAAATTTAATTTAAAATATATATGTGGATAAGTGACTGCTTCTCCACAAAGAGCTCTGAGTCCTTCTGAGCATGCCTGTTCAGGCTCTTGGTATTCTTGTAATTCCTTTGTTGAGGGGACTTAAGTGAATTTTTCCTGTATCCATTGCAAGTCAAAATCTGTAGCATGATGTACTTGGAAAAAGACAGAACACATCATTTGATAAACCAAGAATAAAGGAGGAGCTTAGAATGGTGGTATCCTGCTATGATCCCAGCATGTAGGAAGCTGAGCTAAGACTATCTCAAGTTTGAGGTCAGCCTCCCCCACATAGAGAGACCCTATCTCAAAAAGAAAACAAACTCAAGTTTGACAATATGGTTTAGTGGCACTTGCCACCAAGCCTGAAAACCCAAGTTCAATCCCCAAGGTCTGCATGGTGAAAAGAGAGAGCTGACTTCTTCAAGTTGGCCACACATACACACACACACACACACACACACACACACACACACACACACACACGTGCACACAAAGTTAAAAACCCCAAGCCAAATAAAAAAAAATGTTAATGTCTTCTTGGTCTCTAAATGGGGTTATAAATGATCTCCATGTCAAATGGAATTTGGGTTAAATGAGATTTTTATTTGGGATGAACCAAACTAGCCCTGTTATTTGGCACTCAAATATTAACTGATATATATATATATATATATATATATATATATATATATATATTTGTCATTATTACTTTTAGTTGGCCGAGAATATGACCAGGACCTTGTCTCTCTCCCATCACTCTTTTTAAAAATGTATTTATTACTTTTTATGTGTGTATGGGCATGCACATGCCATGACACACTTGTATAGGTCAAGGGACAACTTTGTATAGTTCTGTTTTTACATCTTTATATGGATTATAGGGGTCTCATTCAGTCATCGGTGTTGAGGCCTTTACCCAGTGAGCTACCGGTGGGCT